AAATGATCATCGTGTGCCAGTAGCAACCATCCCCATTCGGGTCGAACGTATCCGAACGAGAGACGAACTTTCGCTTCGTTGGAACAATCTCGTGCCATGAGACGACGCAAACTGACGTGAACCATTCCCCCGTGGAGCACGGGCCCCACGTTTTAAACGTGGCGCTGCACGAAGAAGCGAAAAACAGCGATGAACATTCGCGGTTGCCCGATTCGTACGGCGGACCATCCTGTCGCGTGTTCTTCCCGTGGTTGGTGTGCGTGCCCGTGGCGAGTGGTGTTCCGAGGGTGAAACGAGCGCGATGAGAACACCGCCAAGAGTAACGAGGATGGACGAATTCGTGAAATAGCCCGGTGGAGAGCGAGCGAGCCACGCCGTGCGCCACGCCACGCCACACCGCGCTTCACAGCTGCAGCTGCAAAACGAAAATGTCGTGGGCCAGGATAGCCAGTGCCGCTCAACTCGCGGCCGCAGTGGCTGTCATTCTACGGATACTGTTCGCATCCGCGGACCCGATCGCGTACACGGACGAGCAGACCTACGACCAGACCACCTACACGATGCCGATCTCCTCCACGGAGAACGACACCGATGTCTATCAAGGTAAATGGGATTATTCGATTCGATCATCGAATATTTTCCATCGTCTCGTTCCCGATGGGAAGAAAAAATTCCTACTCTTTCTCTTCGAGTTTTCTCGTAATAACTGACGATAAATTGACAATGAATGTAAATTCTTAGCGAGATTATTTCATTTTTTTTTTTTCTTTTTCCGATTTAAATGATTCGATTTTATGCAGAAGAAGCTCGACTTTTTCACCATCTCTGGAATAGAGCGGACTGTTTTCGCTAAGTAATTAACGTGAAAGCACAAGTATATCGTAAAAAGAGTTGTAGACGCAAAGAGGCACAAAAGGCCTCAACGAAACCGTGACAAAGTAGTAATTTCTACCGGTAAAATCTTTAGGGAGTTTTACTATCAGCGACTCCATTACGTGTCATCTTTATATATATATATATATATTTGTACATTATACACATGCAAGGAAGTTGCTCTTTAAAACTCATTTCCTTATCCCCTTTCATCTCCAATTTCTTCCAATTACGCAGACATATTCCATTCTAAACGAATATCAAAATTTGCCTAAAAAAACGTCGCACAGGCTCATCGATAGTTACGTTACGCGTATAGAGAAAAGAATTTTTCCATCGCACGACGTTCGGTCGTGTGTTTGCGAGCACACGATCCATTTCCTTTTCCGTCTCGATTCCGGGGAACAAGGTGCACCGCGCCTTGTACTACATTTCTCTCGCGGAATCCACCCGGCGCAACCTAGCACAGGTCCACGTTATCTACCTCTCTATCCCACCTCTGCTCCCAACTCCTCTACGACTTTACTCCTGAAACGCAGCTCGCTTGCGTTACGTAAGCGGTTTTAACAGCGGATTCGCGGCCATGCACGCTGTCATAAAGGCGTGAAAACACCTCGTTGCGTTTCCTTTGGCCGCGATCAGGTTCCGAGGCGTGACCACGGAACTAGTTCTCGCCGCGCGAGGAAACGGCGCCACGCGAGAAATCGTCGTCACTCGATCCTTTACACGCTCCCTCCGCCAGGAAGCGAGTCGCGTTTCCGCTCGGTGGAACAACCGACCCGATCCCGTCTTCCTTCCTCCCCGAGGCGCTTTTTACGCGCCGTTTCGGTCCAGTTTCGCAACCGCCTTACACAGATCGTCATTCGCGTGGACGCGTGATCCGCGTTCAGAGAAATCCGGATTTCTCGTTCGCATCGTTGCAACAATCTCCTCGGTCCGATCTGACCTCGTGCCATCGAGCAGGTATAAAATTATAGAAACTCGACCGTGTCCAGCTCCCCGTGGAACGGCTCCTTTTTCTCTCTTTCTCTTTCTCTCTCTCTCTCTCTCTCTCTCTCTCTATCGTTTTCGGCCCGTTTCTTTCCAAGTCGGAGCACGTTAACCGTACGCGAGGCATTTTCAGCCGGTCTATTTTTACGCAGAAGGCACGAGGACATCAAGGTCGGCCACTCTAATTCGCATATTCGAAAAACTGTTTAGAGCTCGTGTTTGCGCTCGAGTTTCGTCCATCTCGAATCGATCATAACCTCTTAACTGCCTTTCGCCGCGCGACAGTCACCTTGCTCCCACGTGGACGTGGAGGTGAAGTTCGATCCTTTTTTAGCCGATGGCGCGAGTTCTAATATGTGTAATGCTCTTAAAGTGATTCTTTTGTTGTGAACGTGATGCAATTGTTTCCCGCTGATGTGTTTTCCTTACGAACGAATCGCATGATTTTTTTTCTTTTTTTTTTTACTCGACACGCCTTTGTTACATTCGATCTTATTCCGTTTCCAATTGATTTGAAACGAGTATGAAAATGCAATCTCGAATAAATCTCGCGAGTTTTCAATCCCTGTTTCCATACTTTCATACGTCCAGTTAAATATTAGATTAGATTAGAATTCTAAAGTTTCCTCGGAGTTGGAATTCAGGTTCGAGGAGTGCCATGAGTCACCCAACGTGAAACGCGTTAAGGCAGCGAGCGTTTTTGCCGGGACACCGGTTCGAGGACGAAATTGCAACGGTGCAGGGTTTGCTAGGAACGGAGACGGTAGAGTTTCAAGTTCATAAACACTTCTCGTCGAGGAAGAAACGAGAAAGCCAGGTAACGAGAAGCAGGTAGCCAAAGATCCTCGCTTTTCTTATCAACCTTTCCTTTCACTGAAACGTTCGTTACGTATTGCGAACCGACCCTAATAATACTACTTTCGCCCGTCTTACCTGTCTTACACCTGTCGGGAAACCACACGGAAACCGTCTCTGAGTCGGGCTGTTTCGGTGAAAATGAAGATGGAAAATCTATTGTTCCAGATACTTGATAAATTGTGAAAAATTCCAAGAAATTTTAAACGAAGGGATTGAAAAAGATTTTTGATTTTTGTACAATATACCCGCATATATATATAATTTCGTAACTCGACTTCATTTTTCCGTTTTGCCAGTTTTTTTTTTTTTTTATTTCTTGTCAAGATTATTTTGAAAGAATCGTTCAGTGAGTCGTTACCAAAGAACCAATTTCCAATCTTGTAAGTTACATAAGATTTTTCTTCTTGCCGAACATTTCCCGAACAGTAGTGATCCAGTCATTCAACTTCGAAAGAAATTCATCTCTAAATTGCAGCCAATTAAAGGGACTAAACAATATCCTCTTTCTCGTATTACTACGTATAACTTTAATTCTAACGAATTCACGAATCAACGAATTAATATTGGCTCGATTAAAGTAAGGATAATGTTCGGATCGGCCGGATTTTTCTTCTTCTCTCTCCTTTGGTTAATTTTCCTTAAGCCCGATTCGCTTCGAATCTCGCCTCGTTCGCGTTTTACAATTTTTTTAGAAGCCGCGTATATAATTCTTTATCGCGATTCGGACGCGAATTCTAAAGATTGTCGCGCACGTCCCCCCCCCCTCCCTCCCCGCGCGAACGCGACGTGAATGCGAATGGAAAGGGAGCCTGGTTCTCTTGCTCGAGCTTGGTTTTTTTCAGCGGCGAAGAAAAGCCGGGCTCGAGGGTGGAAGCTTGCGTGAAACGAGACGCGTCGCGAGACTCTTTTGCGACGAAACGTCACGGAAAAATCGTCGACTAAGTGGAAAAAGGCGCGAATCTGCAAGGGGATCGAGCGCGAAATGCGACAAGTCGCGTGGATACGCTCTTCTCCGATCCTTTTCAATCACGAATGATCGTGTCGAGAATATAAATGGCGCGTTCGTAATTCTTTATTTCCCTCGTTAGGTTGAATCGGGTGAATATGGAAATTTTGGAATCGCTCTGATTCCAAATCACCTCATAATCGCGCATCGTTCGTCCCTCGCATCCGGCCTTCAATTTCAATTCCCTCTCCCGTTTTTAAGATATTATCTTTATCGCTTTCGAGAAGGCAAATCCCCGTGTAATATTAGTCGATCCAATCATCCGTTCACAAATCGCTCGAATGTACACGTTCACGCGACTAACGTGCCGTTGATGCGTAGGAGTATTGCGTTACGGAGAAGCACCGAAGGGTATGGCTGTAATTACCGAACTCCGTTTCGTGCGCGTAGAATATCGATTCGCACGATGCATCGTTTCAACAAATAAAATATATGTACGGGGCGGCGAGCGGAAATTTCAACGAAGCGAACACACTTGTCCCGATTTTGCGAATCTCGCTATATCCGATCTCTGTTCGTTTCGAACAGAAGAGAGGAGAAGAAATGGTGATGGAAAACCGTTTGTACGCCGCGTTTCGCGTCCGCGCCGTTCGCATCATTCGTCATCGTTAAAACCTTGGCGTAATTCAATCGCGAAGCCGTGCAGACGAAGCGCATCGTTTCGTCCCTATCCCTTTTTCCCCCAAAAGCGAGCAGATGTTTCGCTCGTGGAAGGTGGATCGAAACGATGAAAGCGACGCGATAAAATTCGATCCGCTTCAATCGTTTCTCCGCCGACCAGTTATACGGTACTTAGGTTTTAGAGAGAGGATGAAAGCAAAGCCACCATCTTAGAAGTTGTGGCTTCTCTCTGTACGAAAAGTGAATGGTGTCTATAGAGTTACTCGTCACGGCGCGAGGGGGTCTGAGAAGACACTCGAGGCGAAATTAATTATTCAGACTTCGGCCGTGGCAACCTCGCTCTTGTCTTTGTGCGATGAAAATTGGAAAGCCACCTTGGAAGATGATAAGCGGCCGACGAGGAAGGAAGGAAGGAAGGAAGGAAAAACTGACACGGCGACGAGTGCATCGACCGAAAAATAGTTTACGGAGCGACGCTTCGCCTCGCCAGTACGACCAAATCCTTGTTTTCAACGATCGAAACTTTCTTCCACTTTTATTTCTCGCGGAAACACATCTCGACGAAATAACGAAGAATCTCGCATACGAGAGTCGAGCATTCGATATGTACGCCAACACATTGTTCAAGTTTTCTTTCGTTTTTCGTTTTCAGTGCCAACGAAACCGTTAAACCTATCGTCTCACGGCATCACCTCCACCACCATCGAGTTGTCCTGGGCCGAGCCCGACTACGCCAATGGGATCATTTCCGGTTATCGTATTTACTACATGCATTCCAATTACACCGACGTCCAAATGTACAGAACGGACGAGTACGACGGGCCAATTATCGAATTCGTTTTAAAGGAATTGGGTGAGTATTCGTTGGTCGAAAAATTGAACAGGTTAAATTTAAATTCTTTCGTTCCTCCTTTCTTCTCTGTACCGAGGGGCTAGGCCCAGGAATGAAACAAACAATCCTGATAACGTCCGTTTCGAGAATTGTCGTTCGGGTTAAAGGAATAGGAGACGTCAGTATGCGTAGCTCGACGATAAACCGGAACTCTTATCATTGCGCTGAGTTACGTGCTCGATGACTGCAGGTGAATGTATCGTTAGATAATACGTTGGTATCTGGGCTTGGTATCGTGCAATGAAGCACAAATTCGATCTTACTCGCGAGATAAAACTTACGTTCGTCGCAATATATTTTGCGAATCGATCGAAACTTAAACTCTCGTTTAGTCCTTTGCTCTCCATCACAATCGTTCGATAGTTCGCGAAATACGCGTAGAGAACGAACGGTAATGGATATTAAATATCAGATTCTATCCAAACGTTCAATCGAACGACGCCAAATGTCGAATTTAACTTCGATTCGTACGTTTATATTTAAATATCTGTTTTCTTCTGTTGCAAAAAAAAAAAAAAGAAAGAAAAAGAAAAGAAAGAAAGAAAGAAAAATGATGTTCCCTGTTTACTTGTAAAATTGTCCCGCTGTAAAAGTACTTGATTACAGACCACGATATCGAATCGACTAATCGATAATCCTCTTTCAGAACCGTACACCGAGTACGAGATATGGGTAAAAGCTTACACGTGGAAGAACGAGGGCGAGCCTTCGGAGCACATCATTCGTCGGACAGATATTTCAGGGCCGAGCGCTCCGTTGATCTTGAACGTCACTTGTCCTACCCACGACTCCGTCTACATCCAATGGGCCAGGCCGAACATCTTTTGGGGCTCGATCGACTACTTCTTCATCAATTATCGGATCGAGAATGACAATCGTTACGAAGAGATCGAAGTGATGACGGAGAAGAATCATCTCGAGAGCGCGGTGAGCTTTTAAATTCGGCGCGATTTTAAACTCACCAGGTGCTTCAACTGGTGGTGCGAAAAGTGGTCATCTCTTTCCACTTTCTTCGTTCCTTGCGGTTTCACCGTGAATTACCGCTGGTTCATTTCACGCGATGCTCTACGACTAGAAAAAAGATTCTCAATTTCTGAGAATTAGCGGGGCGGAACTATGTTTCTATACCAGGCGAATCGATTATTTCTTTAACCTTTCTTCGGATAAACGATTTCTCTCTCTCTCTCTCTCTCTCTCTCTCTCTCTCTCTCTCTCTCTCTCTCTCTCTCCTATGCGATTCCTCGATGGTATTTTAGATAAAATTGTTTCGAGCAAGAGGCGATTGTTCGAAACGGACACGAGTCGAGCTGTTGCGAAAACAACATCCTTGAACGATTAAAACGTTTGTCGGTTATCGACTGCAGACGTGGCGGAAATGCACAGAGGGACAGAGAAACTTGGTTATCTCGTTGAATTTCGAGTTGAAATTTTTAGCATGACTCTATATACGAAGCTCGCGTATAGAGTGAAGTAAGATTGCGGGTAAACAATCGGGAAGCAGGATTAAGTTCGATAAACGTTGTTTTATCCACAGATGATCATACCCAACCTGACGATGAACAGCGTATACGAGATCGTGGTACGCGGAGGCACGCGGAGCGCTATCGACAATCGGCTGATTATACGCGGAGAAGGCTCTGCTCCACAGAAGGTGCGCGGCATTCGCGATTGCAACAGAGCACCACCGTTATTGCCACATACCACCATATGGTTCAGCAGCGGAGTGATCGCCGGGATGATCTGCGCTTGTCTCGCGGTGATGCTGATGATCACCTCCTTCGTATTATGGAAGTGAGGATCAACCGTTTATTTCCTCTCTACATCTTTTATTTTGCACGATATCGTTCCTCCTCCTCCTCCTCCTCCTCTTCTTCTTTTTTCCTTTCTTCTTTTTTCTCCCCCTTTTTCTTTTCTCTCTCGAGTCTTTCGAATTCGAAGACGAAAAAAAGGGATGGCGAGAGAAGCGAGAATTTGTAAAATCGCGACACTCCTCGTTCCTTGCCGAGGCCCACAAGAAACAAGCGCGCGACACAAGCCGTGGCCACAGGCTTCGTGTTCACTCATTCAACTTTGCGAACGCTATATCTCTGCCCCATCGCACGATAATAGGCATTCGTTCGTCATCGTGCAATTACAAACGATCCACGATGCAGTCACGCAGTATTAAATGGCACGCAGTCGGTGCGCCGTGCGCGATTAGTTCGGTCGGCGAGCGTTCAGTGTACCGGCTGGTCTCGTGGTATTTAGACTGACCGCGCAATATCGTCGTTAATGGGACAGGGGAAACAATTACACGAACGGTGAACATTCGGTTTTCTCTCGTCGAGTAGGTGCTTCTCGGATTCGCGGTTCGCCTCTCTGTCCTCCCCTCCCAACCCTTTCTTTCCTTCGATCCTCGCAATCTTTCTCCTTCTCTATCGCCGGCTGACCTCTTATCGTTCGCGATAACGGCAAAGTAAGAACGACGAAGCGAGGCTTCTTTCAGTTCGTGCCGCGGCGTTTCGTCGAGCGGATCGTTACGTTTCCCCCGTTCGCGCGGCGTGTGTGCGTGTCTGTGTGTGTGCAGTGCCTATCGTCGAACGATCCGATAGTCGTGTGCCAAAACACGTGCCGTCGCGACCAATCTCTCTCGTATTTTTCGCTCCCCGATTCGTATTTCGATCGCCATTGTCCAAGATATATATTCAAGGACGTCGATTCGACCGTGATACCTGTACGCGCGATCGTACTCGCGGGGGAACGATTCGTAAAGAAGGAATATTTTCTGGGTCACGGACGGCCAGCCTCGGCCTGTGCTCTCTGCGTTCCTCGCTCTCCTAGTCTATTCGAGGAACGTTTACCTTACCATTCTTCTTGCTCTACCGATCTTGGAAATTTTCTCTCTGCGAAACTAGAATGGATAGTGAGAGAAGCTCGTCGACGGGATGAAGAAGTTCCTCGAACTGTGAGTTGCGAGAGTGGAAACGGGGAAAGATTCGTTTCTCTCTCTTGCGTAAATCTTTTTCTTCTTCTTCTTTTTTCCATTACGAAAAATCGTCGATGAACAAAGAATACGGAGATTTCTCGCGTGTACATACGCATCGGTTGTACGTACATCGATGGATCGATCGTAAACGATAACGCGAAAAGGAAACAAATCGTAGGTAACCCGTGTCTTTTATCGCGTTCAAATTATTGCGCTTTGATAAGGATATAAGTTTTACGAAAGAAGGTCGTATAACTTTTATGCGCCTCGATAATAAAAAAAAAAAAAAAAAAAAAAAAGAAAGATTCGTATTCTCGATGTTCGTTTCCTCTTTTTCTTGTGTCCGTCTTTTCTTCCCTTCCTTCTTCTCCTTTCTGGCCCGTCTTTCACGTTTTTTCGTTCGGAATGCATGCTTATGACGAAACTCATTAGGCCTTGCCTGAGGCCAATTTTCAGGAAATGCTTCCACACCGCGTACTACTTCCTCGATTATCCACCTCGCAACGTGCCCACGCTTCAGGAATGGGAGAACAGCGAACAGGACGGCGAGCGTACCGCGGTCGCCATTCAGAAGTTCGTGCAACACGTCGCGAGTCTGCACGCGGACGGGGACATCGGATTCAGCAAGGAATACGAGTTCATTCAATCGGAGAGCGGCAAATTCACAGCGGAGAATTCCCAATACGTGGAGAACAAAGCGAAGAACCGATACTTGAACATATTAGCCTGTGAGTAATCGCATCCATTACGCGCACGTGTAGAACGTTTTTCTTTTTTTTCTTTTTTTTTTTTTTCCTTTTTTTCCTTTTTTCTTTTTTTTCCAGCGGAACGAAATCACTTCGTGGAACGAAACTTTATTTCCATCGAAGCGCACGGATGGTTTCGACAGGTCCACCGCTCCTGTTTTTCTTCTCCCGGCCCACCAGCGTCGAGCTTCTATTTTTAAACCCGGTTTCCCTTTCATCCTCGCGATATATCGCGACGTTTAATTTCGTTCTATCCGTTCGTCCGTATCGTGGACGTTATCTCTCCTCCCGGCGAAACGGAGATCGAGCGGCCCCGATTAATCGATTAACTCGCAACCGGCACGTTTCCGTTTCCTCAAGGTTTTCCTTCCATTCCGTTCGTCCTTACTTACGTTCTTACGCTTATTCGTCATCGGGCACACGCAAGGTTTCGCGTACGCCGAGGCAGAGGCAGAAACGGACAATGCGACAATTGTAATCGCGGGGATCGGAAGTCCGCAATCGTCGTCGACGAATCGCCGCGGCTCGACCTCGCTCCGTCCTCTTCACCGTCGATCTATCTTGAATAGAGCTCTGAAATCGAGTGTACCAGCTCGCTTTTGCATTTTACAAACGAAACGATCCTCGTTTCGTTTCGACGCTCGCCCCTCTGGACACAATCCGTCATCTCCTCGTTTCTAATATCGATCGAAACGATTCCGTCGCCCTTCCTTCGCTAGATTTATTACTCATGTTCCTCGATAAGAAAATTCCTGTGTTATTCCCGATAATCGATCGTTCCTTATCATATGATGGAATCAAGGCCGTCTATTAATGAAGATAAGCGCGCATCAAGTGCACGTTACATTAAGATTCAACCTTCATTCGCCATTCATGCGCTCGTAATAATCGTATTCAATTGAAACACCCGAATATCGTTCTAACGCGATAAGATCTCGTAATCTCTCTCTCTCTCTCTCTCTCTCTCTCTCTCTCTCTCTGGAAAAATGTCGAATGAAAAATCTCTCGCCAATTTATTATCGATAACGTATCGATAACGTTTCTAAGATAAGAGGAAGATATTAACAGTGAGTCTAGAACTAAAAATCCAACGATTGTTGGATGTAGTCAAAATTCGCGATGCTGCGAGACACTTGCCTCTCGGCCAGTTTCGCGATGTTATCGGATTAACGAGCTACTCTCGATCGTTTTTAATGCGAATGACTGGCAGCACTCGACAATGAGGTCACAGATGTTTCGCGGCACTGCTTGTTAATGCCTATCAATGCTGATAGATCAGAGAAAGAGAAGAGAGGAGAAGAGAGGAGAAGAGAGAGAGAGAGAGAGAGAGAGAAGAAAGAAGAAGAGAATCACCTGAACGATTTTTTTCTTATTTTTTTCAATATTTCGCTATAAGTATTCCACGTGGTAAATATTAAGAAGGAAATCTCTGTTCACAGATGATCACACGCGAGTTCAGTTATTGTCGTGCGGCGGAGGACCGCCGAAGAAGGGTCACGATTACGTGAACGCGAATTACATAGATGGTTGGCAGCGTACTCGCGCGTACATCGGTACGCAGGGTCCGTTGCCACCGACTTTCGATGGATTTTGGCGGATGGTGTGGGAGCAGAGAGTATCGATCATCGTTATGATTACGAATCTCGTCGAACGTGGTCGCGTGAGTATCGTTAATTGCGTTCGTTTATTTTGTAGATAGATGTAGCCGTAATTTTCTCTGTTTCGCTCGTTTACAGAAAAAATGTGATATGTACTGGCCTAAGAAGGGGTCTGAGACGTACGGGTGTATTCAAGTGACGCTACTGAGGGAGGACGTTATGGCTACGTATACCATTCGTACTCTTCAAATTCGTCACATGAAGGTTGGTATACATAATTTACATTGAGAATTGATTGATTGATTCTCACGATGATTTCATTTTACATTTCAATTTTGTTGTTAACGATAAGGTGAAGAAAAGGAAGAATGGAGTTAACATGGGAGAACGTATAATTTGGCAATATCATTACACTGGATGGCCTGATCACGGGGTACCTGAACATCCGTTACCTGTTTTAAGCTTCATCCGAAAATCTTCCAACGCTAATCCTTCGGATGCCGGGCCTATCGTTGTTCATTGCAGGTACGAGAAACAATCCATCGATCATTCTGACTGAGAGTAGGCAAGGTATAAGAGGTGTAAACGCGAATCGAAATCGTTGTCTTTTCAGCGCTGGCGTTGGCCGCACGGGTACCTACATTGTTATCGATGCCATGCTGAAGCAGGCTAAGTGCAAGAACGAAGTGAACGTGTTTGGATTTCTAAAGCACATTCGTACGCAGAGAAACTTCTTGGTTCAGACCGAGGAACAATATGTGTTCATTCATCACGCTTTGCAAGAGGCTATTGAAAGCGGTGAAACCAATATCGAGGAAAACAATCTATTAGAATATGTGCAAGACATGTTGAGTCCCAACAACACCAATACAGATGCGTGGAACAACCTTGAAGCTCAGTACAAGGTTGTACAATAAAATGTCTTATTCCCCAGATTTTCTCCAATATTTTAATTCTTTTTCTCTTTTTAGCTGGTGACTTCGTGGAAACCGAAAGAATTCAACCTCGTGTCCGCGATTAAACCGTGCAATCTTCATAAAAATCGCAATCAAGACGTAATTTCGATCGAAACGGCTCGCGTTCACTTGACGCCGAAGCCCGGGATCGATGGGAGCGATTACATCAACGCTACGTGGATTGCTGGTAAATGACGAATCTGTGTTGTTAATTTGGAACATGAAAAGCGAATTCATATTCTCTCAATATTCTCAGGCTTCCATCGCAATCGTGAGTTCATCATCACCCAACACCCAATGGAAAATACAATAATGGAATTCTGGCAGATGATGTGGGATTACAACGCGCAAACTGTAGTTATGTTAACCGAATGCGACGAGGTAGATAAATCGTTCGTTTCCCGATATTTCCACGATCGAAACACGCGGTAAAAAAAAAAAAAAAAATTTTTTCAAAATCGATCCGCAGGAGTATCCCGAATTTTGGCCTACCGAGGGAAAAGATTTAGAGTCGGAGACTTTTCGCGTGCGATCGTGCGGGATCAAGGAAACCGCGAGCGGAATGATACTGCGCGAAGTGGCGGTCCGATCTCTGCAAGACGATTACGAGTTGAGTGCCAAAATCGTGCAAGGGCCGCGATCCCAGCCAGGCTTCTGGCCGCACAACGCCAACCCGCGACCCCTCGTAACCTTGATCCACGATTTACATCGGGATTACCAGAACGGCCCTATCGTCGTAATGGATAGGTAATCTTTCGCACGATTTCTCTGCAAGCTATTTATAAAGATAAAGAATAATAAAAATAACATCGACGATTAGGTTCGGTGGTGTCGAGGCTGCAATCTTCATTTTACTCACGACATTGAACAAGCAACTGGAGTTCGAGAAGAGTGCCGATATTTATATGTTCGCGAAATTGTTGTACATGAAGCGACCCGGAGTGTTTCGGTCAAAGGTAGCACGATTTCATACATTTCTGATCTATAAGTCTTTCTTCCTTTTCGAAAATTTTTTCGAGATCGTTTTTCTCGCAGGAGGATTACGCGTTGCTGTACCAATGTCTGGAAACTATGCTGTCGTCGAAGGCTCACGACGAGCCGGATCTGTACTCGATGGCGAACGGCCACGTGTCGACGATAACGGATCCGGCGGACGTGGCCACCTCGTCGATGCAACACATGCAGATGGACTATTCCCCGAAATCGACGATGATCAGGGAATACGCGACGGTGGAAGTGAACTCTATGTCCGACTATTCTATCCCGATTCGTGTGGACCACTCGATGGAACCGTGCAGTAGCAGAAGCAGCGATAGCTGTATGTTCACGCATACGGGGAACGAGCACGAGAAAAACATCGTGATGACCCATCGGAACGTAAGCTATCACAATCATCCGGGCAGTGTCTCAGTTATTGTTGACGCGAACGGTTACGTGACGAACGGCAGCATGCGTATGAGACCAGAGGGTATGGAGTCGAGCTGTAAGATGTTACCTCAATGATGCCTGCCGATCTTCGGTTGCAGTGTTTCCTCGAACCGGTCTGAGCCGCTGTAACCGATCGAGCTCCTCACTGCCCGAAGTGTAATCCTGATTCTGTGAGTATGTTTCTCCACCCACTTTCGACGTTTTCGTTCGTTCCATCCCTTCGCTTATAACAGCGTATTCTTGTATCGCCTCTTCAACCAAGTCAAAATTGTATTATATTATAATTATTTCTCTCTATGGATTCGCGTATAGGCCACAGCGCAAGGAGTTCCAAATTGGACACGTCTTCGCACAAACGGAATAACGGCTATTCGATCGTGGGATCAGCCTAAAGAGGATTCTCTCTCAGTTATATTGTAAATAATAGATCGTTAGATATACGCGCGTGTACGCGTACGCTCTCGAGGATGTCGGACGTCGGCGAGGGTGCGCGTACACGTGAATAATAAAAAGAAATAACGCGAAACGAGGGTTCCCGTTTCTCGGTGACGTTGGGTGCCAAAAACCATTTTGTTAACGCACGCCATCACATGGGCATCCTCGTTTAACTTCGTTCATCAAGCGTGAGTGTACACTTCTCTCGTTTCTTCTTTTTTGTATGTACATACACCGATACACACATACACACACATACCGTTCGCTCGCATACGCGCACACTTACATAATCACTTACTCGCACTTACGCGCGTACACGCGACACTTCACCGGCGACCATGCATCGTGCAAATACGCGATGTATATTTAAATTTACACGCGTAATATGCGTACTAATATGCAAGTTGGATCATTCGACCACTTCTTTACCAAAGAATCGTTTATACTCGTTTATTCTCGTTTCGTTTTAAGTCCTTTCCTAAAGCGATTTTGTCGCTTTAGCCGAGCAAGATCGAGCGATCGAACGCGGAACAGTCGTGCACGTTTTTTTTTTATTGTCATCGTCAATTTGTGAATTTGTGAACGCGATTAGAGAATACGTAGCGTCGAATTTCGTTGACGCGTTCCTATATTGATTGCCCTTTCACCCCTCTGTCTCTTTTCATCGCAGCGAATATGCAATGTCACAAGGAATTGAGGATCAAAAAAAAAAAAAAAAAAAAAATGTTGTAAACGTAAACGCGTCGTCGTGCCTCCATTCGATTCGATTTTCTCGAGGTTTAAATATTCAGCGGGAAGCAAGGAAAAACGTTTAGAGAAAAAGATGAAAAGAAAGAAAGAAAGAAAGAAAGTAAAAGTATCGAAACAATTATACGAGAATCGTGCGAAGTGCGATGCGATCAAAGTCGTTCAGACATTTGCGAGCATTTATTATATACGATTAATCATGATCGATGAGAATGGTAATAAACCGTGATGAATCGTGGCTGTTAAATTAACTCGATGAAAAATAGTTAACAGCTAGCGAGCGTGAAATCTGTTTTTACGTACGTTTCGTGTCTGCGCGCGAGAGAGAAAGAGAGAATGAAAATGAGAGAGAGAGAGAGAGAGAGAAAGAGAGACGAGCAAACGTGATCTATCTATCTATCTATCTTCCCTTCTAATTAATTAATGTCGTAATCCACTTTCTAACGTGTAACATTCGAATTAAACGAAACGTGAAAGATGTATCGCAACAAAGATAAAGTGTAAATTAGAATTTTCTTCGTCGCGCGTGAAATTTCGTTGCCCTGTGCAATTTTTTTCGATTTGTCCGATTCGGAGCGTCGAAAATCTATGGTTATTCGAGACGGTATTTCTCATAATTAACTTCGAGATTAATTTCCAATCCTCAAAAATCCTCGCTCCGGTGATATCGGAGATAACCTAAATCGGTATATCAACGACGATTCAGCAATTTTTATACGATTAATGCTGTTCAAAATCATGTGATCCAGTGAGACTTTTTTTTTATTGTGATATAAAAGAAAAAAAGAAAAGAAAAAAAAAGAAAGAAAAAATGAAAAAGAGAGAGAAAAAAAACAGAAAAACACAAAAATTGAATACTTTGTTGTACCCGAGTATATTATTCTGACCACGAGTTCCTTTGCCGCGCGATCATTTTTCTATCGAATCTACCATCCGTAAGACTGTTTTCTCACCTAAAATTCTTATATAGTCTTGTACCGTACAATTAAGACAACGTTACGTGATACGGAAACGAAAACTGCCTGTGACACCTTCGATCCATCTACTGTGCGTGTTTTTCTACCGTCTTATATATATATATATATATATCGTGACTAATCGTTGACGAACAATCATCAATCGTCCTTCGTTTTTACCTTTTACTGCTGATTAATAAATCGACGACGTGGAAGATTATTAACAAAAAGGAGGAAAAAAGAAGAAAAAAAACGTAAGGAAAAAATTGAAAAAAAGAAAAAAAAGAGAGAGAGAGAAGAAGAAATAATATATATATGTGTGTGTGTGTGTGCATGTACATATATGTAATCGTGTCCATTTTGATAAGACGTATGTAACGTATGTAATCCGGGACTGAACGATCTTTTTAAATTCGTCATCGATTTTTTTAATAACTCGATGTCAATATAACCTATTTAACTACGTAAAAGCTTGCTTCTTCCTTCGGTCCGAATCGACGCGATGAAAAACGAGGAACCAAATGTCTTCTTTTTTTTACCGGCGAAATCATTTTATCGTCACTTATCGATTATTTTATTAAAATTATTCGACGACATTTATTCTTCATCGAAAAAAATTTAATCGCGCAACACGATCGAAACAAAATTGATTCAAGGATCCCGAAGGAAGATTAAAATAAAAATTAAGATTTAAGTATAGTTCGCGTGTCGGAAAGATAGGAGATAATAAATATTAGAAATATTGAAATCTAAATTCGGCGAATTGTATTTTTTTTTTCTTTTTTTTTTTTCTAACTTTCGGACACGTTTCGAAGCGAAGCTAAGAAAAATAATTAACGAAAACGTAATTAAGCAAAGAGAAGAGAGAGGGGTATAAGAACAGTAAAAGAGAGAAAACGATTGTACGACTACACGACGTTCGATTTCCCGATCTTTCGCTTTTCTTCTTTTCTTCCATCACCGCGAATATTTTTTTTTTCGTTAAGAGAATTCGATCGTTAGACGTTCGTTCATGATTTTCATCGGTACACGATCGCGAGTCTAATATCGTTTCGATAGACAAAGGAACGTTGGTCGATGATTCATTCAACCGAGCGAGCATAACCGCTTCGAGCCTTGCGATGGAAGAAGGCTTGTGACGAATCAGAGAAACCGAGCCGACGTCCAGTTCCGAGCACCGTCGTAATTAATTCGCGGGTATTCGCGATCGAAGACTGCGTTCGTCTCCCTCTTAATAAATTTAAATAAACGCTGCGTGAATTATTCGAGGGAAAGGAAATATCTCGGCCGAGTATTCGTCACGAAAATTGTTCGATAGAGAGGGAACGAAACGGTGATCGGTTCTCTCGCGTGTGTGTTACCCGTTGAAATAAAAGCATAGATAAACGCGAGAAACTCGGGCTGGACGGAAACAACACGATGTCTTCCTCCTCGTGAGCGTAGGATGGGGAGGCATCGCGAAAGTAGATAATTTCAATCCTCTGGACCGATTGAACCAGCGAATCCCTCCCTACGACGAGAAAAAGCTAAAATATGTCTGTACAATACGCGAATAATAATAGTAATAATAATAGTAATAATAATAATTATAATAATAACAATAGTAATAATAATAATAATAAAAGTAATATTAATAATAATAGTAATAATATTAATAATAATGATAATAGTAATAATGTAATATCGGTTCCGTTATTGTAATTAGGGATAAATTAGAAAGCGAGAATAATAATATTGTTGACTCGTGCAAAGACGTGTCTGGATGCCAACTATACACCGTATACATATAGATATGCACATTGTACACAAAACCACATGATGCACATTGTAAAACCGATTATAAAAGTCCATAGAGGATGAACGATGACGAGCTCACTTGGTCTTAGCCTCTTTTAGCAGTAAAATGATTAATAGCGCACCACCGAATCAACCGACTGTTGTTAATTGCTTAAAACGAGCGAGTAAGGATCACACGACAAAACGCATAAACGTATATACATAAAGAGAGATGAAATATATATATATAAATATATATATATAAATATAAATATATATATATATATAAATATATAAATATAAATACAAATATAAATATATAAATATATATATATATTATATTCAGATATTTATAATATGAGTGAAAACTACGCATTGTAGTTGCCACGCGAGATACCGTAATTGGCATGCATGCACGCGCGTTTCCACGGGTGTTCTCGAGAATTGGCCGTGTGATAGTTTTGTGGGCAAAACTCGCGTGGACACCGTCATTCCAAGTCCCTCCTATCGATCGCGGCACACGGAGGAAAATTGAAAAGGATAGAAAAAAGAAAAAAAAAAAAAAAAAAAAAAGAAAAAAAAAAGAAAAGGAACGATCGATCGAAAATGAAGATTTTCTTCCCTTGCATGTTGCCACGGTACCTCGTCGAATGGCATCGAATACGAATACTGTACTGTATTTTACGATAAGCACCGTAAATTCTGAATGTACCTATACGGATACAAAAGAATGATATATAAAAATGAGCAGAGAGAGAGAGAGAGAGAGAGAGAGAGAGAGAGAGTGCGAGTGCGCGTGTGCGTGAGAAAGTAAATAGGAGCGTGCAAACGGAGAGAGATGCGTGTGCATCGATCGATCCTCGAACACTTGGTATCGGTTCGATGCATCGTTTATACATATATAAATATTATACATAATTAATTCGGGAGGATAACGGAGATAGGTGTGTATAGAAGAATAATTTAGACTCTAGTCAGCATAACACAATCGTAATCGACGACGCACACGTTTTTCTTGTTCATTTCGGTTTCCGTTCTTACATTGTCAGAAGGGAGAACGCGTTGTTCACAGATCGCGTTCCCATCGTTGTTTCTCTGTACTCGACGCGTTCGGGTTTTTCCACACTTAGGGACGAGTTGTGTAATGAACGCGTGGCTGCGTTTACGGCTGTTCGTTTGCTCGGAGGGGGTGCGTTGGCGCGGCGAGGGTCTCGTACATTGTGACGTGTTCGTTAGTACGTAATCCTCATTAATTGTTTTTCCTAATCTTATCTTTAATTTCTTTTCTCTTTCTTTCTTTCTTTTTCTTTTTTTTTTTTGTAATTATTTTTTCCCACTTCTTCTGTTATCTGATAATTAAAATTAATTTCTTACACGTAATAAACGCTAAACCCTTAACTTTTTGCATTGACTTTCGTTGATTTATTTATTGTTTTTTTTCATAAATTCGATTGTATAAAAATCAAACGACGAGATCGATTGGATGAAAATCGATCGTGAATGAATCGTTTCTCGAACGATGCGATGAACTGACTGCAGACGCAGCCATCGAAAGAATCCGATAGGAAGATAAATATACGTTCGAGGGTAATATATATATATATAACAAAAAAAAAAAAAAAAAGGAGCGTATCGAAGGCCTACTACCACTGAACTTTGACACGTGATCGAGGGATTTTTTTTTTTTTAAAGAATCGGATATGGTAACGAGCAAAGAAAAGTCGAACGCTTGATCGTACAGTCCGACCAAAAATCCATTAGAAAATTAGCGGGTACGAAAATATCATCGGGGAAATCATCAGTTATATCAGTTAGATCGGTAATTTTCGGGTCGAGCATGATGTCACGTTATTCGTATTAGAGAATCCGCGCGCGGGGAACGTACAACGTCACACACTAAGACTGCAACAAGTAAACGAATTAAGAAAGAAAAAAAGATAAGAAAAAAAAAAAAAAAAAAAAGAAAAAAAAAAGAAACTACAAGAAGAAGAAATCGCGACCGATGAAACGGTGTTTTTTACGATCATTATTGTACCATTATTACGATTATCGTACGTTTCTTTCTTTTCAATGTGTTAATTTCCGCGGCATCGAGCCAATCGACGCGCGACATTTAAATGCAAGTATTCGCACAGGCCTACGATAAGAGAAACTCTTTATATACGTATCCATGATGTTTCACGTGTACATTAAATAAACGCAAGCATTAATTGTCATTCAGCTAATCGACGATCGGACGACATGCGTAGCCCTCTAAAAAGAGAGAGAGCGATAGAGAGAATGAATGAGTGAGTGAGTGAGAGAGAGAGAGAGTGTGTGTGAGAAAGAGAGAGAGAAAGAGAGAGAAAGAAATGGGATAACGACACACTGAAAAGCTTTTGCCTCCTATCGTAATGACGACTTTTCACTCGCGTTATATCACTGCAATTGGCCTAATTGATCACGGATCCTATTATCTCTTTGACCTTTCTTCCCTCGAATCTATAAATTTTTCATAGCACGCTACTTCCGCTACGTACGTCAACATCGTAATGGAACTGCGTGGGGGAAAAAAAGAAAGAAAGAAAGAAAGAAAAAAAATGAAATATCGCGAGGTCGAATTTGTTAATTATTGATTAATTTCCATTTGTCATTTTGGATTTTGCACGAATTTCGCACGTGCAAACTGAGCGAAACTGTGCAAACGAACTGAGCGTACAAATAATTATTTCTACGATAATAGGCGAACGTAAGAACGTAATCCTGGAACGTAATCTATCACTTTTCTAATCGAAAATTTTTATCTTGATAATGGGATAATGGGATTAACACAAGTTTTTTTCCACGTTCGTCACAATCAATCGTGAATTAACTTCGCGATTCGAAGAAATTGTGCCGCAGTTGCATTACGATTAGTACGCCAACTTTTCAATTCGACATAGTACAAAAACGTTTGCAAAGTTGAAACAACTCGATGAACAAAATGCGTACATATAATTTGGAGAACAACTAGAAACTCGAACGATTAAATTTGCGACACTGTTCGTTTATTAATTTCAAAGAGTACGAGTACGAGATTCCGGTTGTTGTCGATCACGAATTTCTTTAAGAAAAATGCGCGATTCAATGAAATGCACAAGAAGTGAAGAAGAAGGAAAAAAAAAAAAAAAAAAAGAAAACAAAAAAACACGCGTATGTCCTTTCATCGTAAACAATATCTTGACCAATTAAATACTAAGCTAGCATGGATGTATAACTCACACTGAGATAAATGTTAACCAGTTACCTGCGTAATACTCAATGTTAAGTGTCGAACTGATGCTCGTTCAGATTTTCTCGACGACTGTCCTCGCTCGTGTGAACCTCACGATTTTCTTTCTTCCATTTGCGCGAAAAAAAAAAAAAAAGAAAACGAAACATTGCCAACGACTGTCTGCCAATCATCGTTTACGCGAATTTTTTAACAAACGAAAAATGATAAAAAAATGAAACGAACGGAACAAAACGAAAAAGAAAGAAAGAAGGAACAAAAAAAAAAAAAAAGTGAAAAGACATTCCACGCCCATTTTTTTAGACGATCAACGAAAACGAAACATTGTTTGACTGCCATATACGTATTTTTATGATAATTTTATAGACGTGAAAACGGGGTGGGCCGAACGATCAGGCACCATTCCGCGTTCGATACAATCTATCACGATTCGAGTGAAGTAGTTTCCGTTTTTTCTATATGCGACTTTTCTTGTAATCTATCCTGGTGAAAAAAGAGAAAAAAAAAAAAAAAGAAGAAGAAGAAGAAGGGAAAAAAGGAAAAATGCAACTACACGACACACGTATTGATACGCGAACAAATTATTGTCACAGCTAATATGTGTGTATTTTTTCTTTGTTGTATAACGTATCCGCCGTGTAGAAGAGTAGCAAACCCCCGCTCCAGCTCCCCACCCCTTCTCTGATGCGATCATTGTTGCAATCGATATCCCACAAGTATGTTGTAGTAATATACACTTCTTACTATCGAAAATAATCTTGAGTTTTTTTCATTATATCGATCATGGGTACAAATCACTCTAGTACATCGATATTTTCATTTTTCTTTTTTTTTTTTTTCGTTCGTCATCGATTTATTTTGTATTTATCGATAGTAGATTATAGATTATCAGAAATTCTTCTCGATGTTTGCTTGGATTTTTTTTTTTTTTTTCTTTTATAATAAGAATATCGATTTAAAATTTTTCATCATTATCTATGGTAAATGTTCTAGGAAATTTCTAACGTTTTTTTTTTCTCATCCCGTTGTTGCATTTGTTGCATTGTTTCGTATGCTTTTTGATTTGGAGCGATGAGCGCAGGATTTATTATTTCAATCGCAAAACTTAGCGGATTTAAGAAATAATTTCTTTTCGTATAAAAATTAGATCTCTTAACTCTTTGTTAAGATTTTTAATTAATAGATTGGTCAAAAGAAACGATAAAGTTCAAATGAGATACCGAAGTCGTCTTTCGAGCGCGTAAATGTAAAGTATAGATAAGGAGAGGAAATAATGGAAAAAAGACAGAGATAGGATAAAAATATTAAAATCAACGCCATCTTCAGAGTGCCGCAAATGAAACACACGTAAAAAGGATAAGAAATAATTAGAAAAAGATAAAGATAGAATAAGAATTAACTATCAACGCCATCTCTTGAGAATCAAAAACATTTCTTCAAAGGATAAAGAAGAATAAGAATTTAAAATTAGCGTCATCTATCGAGTTCTAAAAAGAAATATCTTTAAAAAAACTCGGAAGATGGTGCTGATGGCCATTTTGATTCTATTTCTATCTTTTTTCTATTATTCTCTATCCTTTCCATGCGTGTTTCGTTTGCGACACTCTGAAGATGGCGTTGATTTCAATATTTTTACTCTATGTCTATTTTCCTCTTATTATTTCTTTTCCTTATTTAGACTTATTCCTGCCACAGGACTTTAACCTACCACAATTTTATCGTTTTTTCTTTCTCAAAACTACATATATATATCTTAATATTTAATGTAAAAAAATAACTCAGCTTTAAAATATATTTTTAAAACGAATTCGCAAAACAGTACATCTTAATGATGCGCTTCGAATTTTTAAGTCTCTTTATTAAATGGAAAATTCAAGTTCATACAGTAATTTTTACTGTATAATTTTTAAGAAGAATCGAATCGATATCAAACAGATATAAAATCGGTAAAACACATTCGAACGTATCGTTTATCGATCAGGAAGACAAACGCAACGATTCTGACTCCAGACAGAATCGAATTTCTGTCCTGTAGAAACACGACTGACGCGCAACTGATAAGCGTTGGTAATTAAGCTGATTGACGTCTCGTTTATGACCGCGTCTATGGCCACAAATTGTCATTTTAACGAATCACTGTCCTCGCCAGGATGGAATAGCGATCGATCGGTTCGAATTTCCAAATTCGCTTCGATGTTATCTATTCGATCGCCGTTCGTAACGAAGTACCACCATCAATTGTCGATGAATTTGAAACTTGAAATCGATAAACTCCGTTGATATTTAGGGAAAATAACAATGTTCTTCGATACGTTTCATCGTATACATATATATATATATATATGGGAGATAAGGTTGACGAAAAAAAATCACTCAAGGATTAGCTTCTTTTCCGGTTTTTCTTACAAAAATACCTCTTTATTGTAAATGGATCGTCGACGGTAGTTACACGGAAAGACAGTCATCCATCCACAGAGAAGCGTTGGGGGATCCCGACAATCTCATCGGCGAGGAAATTTTCATTTTGCGTTTCATTTTTTTTTTTTTTTTACATTTTTGCTTTTTTGAATTAACACTCATCATGCTTTGGCATCTTTATTATTTTACGTGTCTGTGTGTCTGTATGTACGTGCGTGTATCTGTGTTCCTTATGCGATATATCTTTTTTTTTTTTTTTTTCTTTACTCGTTTCGTTTTAGCGTTTCGTTTTTTCATTTCGTTTCATTTCGTTTCGTTTCGTTTCATTTTTTTATTTTTTATTTTTTTCTTCGAATATTTGATCAACACACTTAGACAGTGATAGTGAAGTCTTTAGGTGATTTGGAGAGCGAGTTAGAAGGAAAACCCGTCCTCTTCCTGTGGAGCTTCAGCTTCATGTCGATATCGCACTCGGCCTCGCTGGTCTCGTGCGCGTCCGTGAAACCTGTCGGCGGTTTCAGTTCCAACGTAGACAGCTCGCTGCCCCAGTCCTCTTCCCTCCTTGCCATTCTGGACGATCCGGGTTCCTCCAGCAGGCACAACGACTCTACCGACTTCCTCGGGCTCGGATCTTTGCCCAGCCGATCGCAGGACCCAGGCCTCCCAGGCTGACTCGGCGACGCTCCCCTCGAATACGAATGCATCCCGGATTCCGAGAGCTTCATCACGGGGCGCAGTATCCCCGGCACTCGACCGTCCATCCCTATGTCGGCCGTTGCTCCTTGATTCCTGCAAATCAGGGAAGGGAATCGGAAGGGATATCGGCCTCGATAATCGTTTTCGAATCTATTCCGTCGAGATCGTTTTCGAATGGAGGCGGAACGTTACCTTTGCTTCTCGAGCCTCGGGAAAGTCTTCCTCTCAGAAATTGGTGACGGCTCGGTTGATGTACTTGATTCGTGCGTGTGGTACAGCACATCTAGAAGGTGCACGCGAGACACGTGGATGCGAGAAACGTGATGCGTTAATGGCGGCTTGGATGACGTTTTAAGGCTGTTGCCGGCGTCGACACAGAAAATCGAATACTAACTTACTATGATGAACCGGCCTCGGGACCAGGGCTAGTCGCTGCTCCCTCTGCCCGATCGAATTCGGCCCCGGGGAACGCGTCATTATCGACGCCGGCCCTGAGTCGTCCAGATGGTTCGAGGACTCGGTCCGACTGCTGGTACCGACCTCCGTGTCGCTGTCCGAGCCCAGGGTGTCGTACTCCTCCGATTCCGATTTGAACGACTTCGACTTCCGCCTCGCCCTTCCTCGCACCTTCGTGTACTGCTCCATGTCGCACTGAAACGTGTGTCAAAGTTAATCAAACCTCTCTTCCTCTCGTCCCACTCACTTTCTTCAATTTTTCGATTCGATGTACTCCCACTCGAAATCGAAAAATTAGATTTCGACGCGACCACGCTATTATCACTTTCCCAAAGCATCCCTTCATCGAGATTCATCCCGGTGTATCGTACCGGTAACGAGTTTTCCCCGACCTCGGAGAGTCGTTTACTTTCGGGACGAGCGAGTCTCGAACCAAGACACATCGATGGAGGAAAGTCGCCTTACGTTTATACGCGAGATCGTATCGTGCACGCTAGTTTCATCTCTCGCGGGATATACACGTCTACGTGTGTGTGTATGTGTGCGCGCACACGTGTGTAGAAGCAATACATCACATCGACTCGATCCTTTTCCTCGATACGACGAAAATACATTTCTTTCCCGCACGACGAAAGGAAGGAAAGGTCTCTTTCGATCGATTAAATTACACGTTGCGTGCGACGGTTTATCATTCACGTTACTCTGTACACTGTACCTGATTGCCTTGCAGCATGGTTTCGCTGCGTTCGTAGTAGAACGCCTGTCGCATCGGGTTCGCCGACAGGTTTTCCTGCTCGGGCAGATTGAAGGTGGCGTACGGATAAATGTCTTCGGAATATTCGGGTATTCTTTCCAGGGCGCTCACCTCGCGACAGGGCGACTGCTGCCCCGGCTTCCTCACGGTCGCGTAGTACTGTTCCCTCTGCTCCATGTTGTGCTTGTTCTCCAGCGCCGCCTGGGTTTGCGAGTTCGGATCATTCGCTCTTCCCGACCGTTCCGCGTCTGCAATCATCGCGATTCGCTCGTGTAAGTGACAACAACGCGATCTGTACGTGGGAATCGAAATCTCGAGAATCAAACGAGAAGTATATCTCGACGCTAAACCATTTCTAAACCGTTTTTCCAAACGATTCGACTGAAACACTGTTACCACCATCACCATCATTGGCGTTGCCGAAGAGAAATTCGAGCCAGGCTTTCATCGTCTATCGTCAAAGTGTTTGAAAGCGAACAAAGGACTCGCGTCGATTAAACTTGTAACAACACTTATCTCGAAAAGGAATCGTGGTTATCTCGTAAGTGCATAGCACCTGCCATCTATCGAGCATGGAGCGGGATCAAATTTTCGCCGGAGAGAAGATTACTTGGCGAAAACGAGGTGGATGGAATTCGACGATCGAGAAACTCGTCGTCGCGTTCCACTAATCGTGGTCGCGTAAATATTTACCAGATCGTTCCACACGTGCCGGAAGAGGAATGATCGTAGCACGTTACCGTCAACAACGTTGATATAATTGCGTGAAACGCGCGTGGAAATACCTCGTTCGCCGGTGCTTTTAATTAATCGAATAGCACGAGCTCGAGCGTGGCTCGGATTGCGATTGGATAAGTGGTCGAGTAAAAAGTCGCGTTCGTGAAAGGGGGAGGAAAGAAACGAAGGAATGGCCGAGAAGGAGGGACGAAAGGAATCAATTTTAGCAACGTTGATAGCGATATCTCACCATCTCTCGAAGAATGCACGGTAATTGGAACACGATATCGCGACGTTTAGCTACTCGATAACGACGAGTGGCACGAGTGTGGCGCCAGCACGCTCTTCCGTCTTAATGCAAATTGCCGTTACCGTTGAAATCCTATCCCGATTCGATCCCCTCGATCGAAACCCTTTCGTCTTCCCTTTTCGAAATGAAATGAACCTCCTCGAAATGAACGCTTCGCGGCACGGAATCTAGATGATCCAGATCCAGATGGGCCAATGTCCTTTGATTAATCTTTGATTTTATGCAACTATGATTCGATCGAGGGAATTAGAGAGTTTAGTGGTTGAGTAGAGTGGTTGATCAGAAATGCAATCGTAGTAGAGTTATATGATCGAAAAGCATAGTTTGCGATTGGATAGGCAAAGTGCAAGAATACATTGGGTGAATTTCGTTATAGAAAGGAGCTGTGCGATTCCGATACAACGCAGAATTATGATTTTCACTGTGTGTATTCGTGTTATATATATATGTTTAAATATAGGCAATTAGGATCGTTAATTGAACATCGATTCGATGGTTCTTTGTTTGATACCGCTTGTTTCAATACAATACGAGATACACATCCGCCGGCGATTTTAATTATATGTACGGTTATTTGAGCACACGCGATAACGATAACGCGGAAACGAATTCGAATTTTCGGGAATATTTTCCCGATTCCAATGATTCGTAAAAGCGTTGTAAAAAATGTTCGATAAGATCGAATGATGAGATCCTTTGGCGACGATGGTACGTTCCAGAAATCGATTCGATTAGAGTTTATCCTTTGATATCGTAGGACGAATAATGGTGGAGGACTTACGTGTTTTCAAGCAAAAGCAGACGCCAGCCACCGTGAGGAACACGGCTAGAAGCGAGATGACGCTAGGCGCGAGCACGTGGGCGTCGAAAAGAAGCGAGGTCTCCTCGGTTTCGGGCAGGTGCTCGTCGTGTATTCGATTACTGCCGGTCGGCGACAACGTGGTGAACAGGTATTCGGCCTGCGTCGAGCCCGCGTTATTGTACGCAGTGACACGGAGCTCGTATTTGGTGCCGCTATCCAAATTCACTATGGAGAATCTCGATTGTGGTTGCACGTTATTCGAAACTGCAACAGAATTAGGGTCGTTGCGTGAAACAGACCGCGACGACGCGTTGGCGTTTTACGTTTTACGGAGGGGAATACAATTTTCCGTTCGAGGTTTTCGAGACTTTTTGCACGTTTTACCGTAAATATTTTCCTTTGCTTTTTCGGATCGATCGATCGATCGACCGACGAGAAAAGCAAGAGGAAAAATTGGGCACTCGAACGATGAAACTATTCGAGGGAATTGAATCCGAATATTGAACGAGACTTACAGAGCAACCAATCACCGGATAACCTCCTGTATTCGACCACAAAATAGAGCAAAGGGCAGCCCCCGTCTTGCCACGAGTTCAACTCCAACGTAACGAACGTTTGATTCGCTTTGATCAACTGATGCTTGATGGGTGGAATCGGTTTCGTCCCATTCGTCTTCGCCGACTCGATCTTGCTCGCGCTTCCGCTACCGATCCTGTTGAACGCCGCCAACGTGAACTGGTACCTGGTCCCGCACTGCAATCCTTCCAGAAGATGCGTGTTCGCCTTCCTATCGATCATCACTTCCTCCCACTCGGAGAACTCGCGACGATAGGCCAACAGGAATCCCTTGATGGGGGCGCCACCATTGTCGCCCTGTTTCCATTGCAGTTGGACAGCGTCGGTTGTGGTGCCGGTGGCGAGCAGAGTCGGCGGTGTTGGAGGCACTGCGCAAAGTTGCACGATTAACACGGCGGTTTCGACCGATTATTAATCGCGTGGAACGACGAACGCGGCGATTTCGAACGAGGAAAAAGAAACTCGACGAAACTTGGTAATCCGGAATTTTCAAAGTTTATAGAGGATAGAGACTTTATTCTCGCCGGGACGAGTCAATTCCACGCGGGAAAAATTTTACTTCTATGTACTTTTTTTTTTTTTTCAGAAACTATCGTCAAACACGATCATGCGAATTCGAACCTCGGCGAAATCGATTTGATTATGATTTGCGTCCCACGATCGAGTCGACGTTTCACGTAACGAGGAGTTCGAACAGCGTTCCACTGTTTTACGAACAAATTTTCAGCCGTGGGCGAATTATGCGCGATAATTGTGCGACCACCGCAACGAAAAAACGATTTGGTTTTTGCAACTTTTAACGAACCCTGTTTCATCCCGTCGATGACAAGCTTTTTCACCCCTCCCGTGACCCGTTCCCGTTCATTACCGCGATGATATCCGCACGATGCGCGCGAAAAGGGATTGAAAATTTCCCAGAGAAGGAGGGGGACACTGTTCCGTGTCCTGTCGTCGCGTTTTCGACGGGAACGCGACCTGTTGACCCGATTCTCTTCCCCGTCGTGGTTACTCGCGCGGTATTATTCGTTTCTCGCGAGAACAACGTTACCAACGACACGTCGGTAAACCTTTTACGCGAGTTTCGAAGAAGAAGAATTTTAAATCGAATCGAAAATGGATCGCGGGGAAAAAAAAAATTTTTGTATCGAAAATTATCGAAAGTTAATCCTTAACCAGTGGCGAAATTGAGTCTGTGCGACGCGAGTCCGATCTTTAAACCTCTATGAAATATAATTTCATAGAACACGAGTCAATCGATAGCATTAACAATTAACAAGAGATAAAAATATAACTATTATATATATGCACATAGAATTTTTCAGAATTTCGCAAAAAAAAGGCGGAATCCCTTCCTTTATCGAATAACGGGAAAATTATTGCCAAACGATCCCGAGGGACGAAGAAAATCCCGATCCGCTCAACGGGATCTTATTCTCTCCCAAACGACCAAGTTCCACGTACCTTGTACTTGCAGCGTGTACACGATTTCATCGGAACCGAGGGAATTCTTCACGTGGCAGGAATAGTTGCCCTCGTGAGTTCTCTGCACGTTCCTCAACGTCAACGCGTTGTCCGCCCCTATGTCCGACCTGTCGTGAAAAACCCTGATGTGATCACCACGCGCACGTATACGTATCTCTCGCTCCGTATTCCATCATTTCTCTCCACCACTTACTTCTGCTGCAACTTGACGTCGCCTCGACGCCATTCCACCGTGGGACGTGGAATACCGACGGCGAGACAGGCCATATTGACGTCCACCCTCCAAGGCACTACGAGCGGCACTCCGAACGATATTATAGCTGCTGGAACTAATTAAAAGTCCCGGTTATCCTTGCTCTTCGTTAAACTTCCTCCAGCTATGATCCGTGTTTGAGTTCACTTTCGAAACTTCCCTCGTCGTTCCCCTCCCCTTCCCCTCTCCCCTCTCCCCGTCACTTTGTTTCTCTCGAATTATGTATATGTACATGTGTATATATATATATATGGTGTAGGAGAGGGGAGATCGTATTCGACGAAAAGCGCACAGATTTCTATTAACGATGACGCGTGTGAGAGGGTTATGGATTAAAATGCATAATTCTCGGCACTCTGCGCCAACTCTATATATATATATATATATATATATATATATATATATTCGAGCTCGTCGATCAACTTTCACGAACTCCGTCGAACTGAAACGCAAAGAATCGCGGGAACAGGGTCGATTAAATATCCCATGCATACGGAACGAGATTGCAGCGAGTGCCTGCAACGTTTATCGAGAAATCTTGTTCTTTTAAGAGCAAACTTGTTCCGTGAAAAGTATAATACAGCCGAGGAAAGGAGAATATCTTATTGTATCGACGTTAATTAACGATCAGTGGCTCGATTCGGTAATTGGTTACTCGATGATGGTCAATTGTGGTTAATCGGCACGAAATAGTCCAATTACACGATATATATATATATATATATTTAACAGTTTTTTTCTATAACATTCTCACGCTGCATTTTAACCGAGGCTACTTGTACACTTTTATTGTATACATTCGTACGTCCCCTTTCTTTGTCTAAAATCGATCCTTGGAAAGATCCATCGTGCCAGCGCGGCTTCGCATCGATACGAAACCAACGATTGCGCGGTTTTATTCCTCGGGAGAGTGGCGAATTTTTCATAAAACTTGCACGTTTCATTGGCCCAATTTCCCCGCGCGTTCACCGCGCGATCGTTGGCGAATCGAGCCGTTGGAAATCGATTCCTCGGGGAGGGAACGGCGAGGGGGGGAAGAGAAAGAGAGGAAACGGGGGAGGAAGGAGGAAGAACCGTTTTCCTTTCCCCGAGGAAAGTTTGGCCTCGGGATGGCTTACCGGTATTGCTCAGTTGAAGTTTGATGACCGGAGTTCTAGGTCCTTGCCCTATTTTGGTGGAGGCCGTAACCCAGGCCTCGTAGGACTCGCGCTGCTTCAGCCCGGTCGCCTCGTGGTGCAGGTTCTGCGCAGGCAACGAACTCTTAATGGTCTTCACCTCCTGGCCCTGGTCCAACACCCGGATATGGACGGTGTACTTGGTGAGAATGCCGTTCGGTCGCCGCGGTGGCAGCCAAGATATCACCACCGCGTCCTCGTTACTGGTCACGGCCTTCACGCGCTCGGGCGCGTCCGGAACTAAGGCAGGAACGAGTAGCTGGCGATCACTGGCTTCCGGATACGGAGCGGAAGAAACGGACAGTCGAAACGGGGGAAACGCTTATTGCTCGTTAATCGATCGTCGATGGAAGGGAGAGGGAGGGAAGAAAGGTCGTTTCCCTCGTGTTTAATTTTGGAAAATCCAAATTTGGATTCGATCGTGGAGAATAAATATATATAAAATGAAACGTTATTTCGTGGATTTATATTCTCTTCTTGCGGCTAATCCGATAGAATTTTACGAGGGACACGTTACTACTCGTGTTACGTCGCCACGATCGCTCGTCCTTCGAACTTATTCCTCCTCGAATCGTGATTTTTACTTGGCGATATACTTGGTCACTGTCGCGGCAAATGACCAAGGCAAAAAGCTTTACCGAGCTTTATCACCGTCCACGACCTTTCCTCCTCCGTTATTCAACCTATCATCCCAGAGAGCACAAAAATTACGTACATCTCTCATAACTTTGCAAGTCTCCAAAGCAAAACTTTCCCTTTATTTATCGCTTCGTTGACGCGCGATTAAAAATCTCTTGTTCGTTGGACGGGCACGCGACGAATCCGCTCGCGCTGAGCATCTGTCATTGACGACCACATCCGGGGCCCCGCGTTTTTCTTTTCGCGATGCACGCGAAATTTTACGACCACAGGCCGCGCTCACGCGTTTCGTTTTGCCGAGCGTTATTACGAGTTTCGCGATAACGCGATACAATTATTCGCGACCCATTTCCGGCAATTTCCGCGGAAATTCCGGGGCCGCGTGCACGCCCCAACGTGTGCAGCTGCGTTTAATGGAAAAGCTAGTCGAGTTTCCACGATGAGGGGGCGATTGCCGTCGTCGCTTCTCTGGATATAACGTTACTTCAAAGGAGCGGCAAAGTTTCCGTCATTGACTCTTTGGTCCACGTTTCCACGCTCTCGTTAAGCAGCGGCACCCGACCATTCCCCCAAATTCACGGCTGCAAGCGCCCCCTCCCCCGTTGTAAAGCGCACTCGTTCCCACTCTCGAGACTCATCTTCGAAGAGAAATTTTCCACCGTACCTGACGCAACTTTCCGTTCCTTGTTAAAATGCTAATTAAACGATAATAAAAAACGCAAAAAAAAAAAAAAAAAGAAAGTTGTCCCCGATCGATTCCTACTTCTAATTTCAAGAAATTTTTGGATAATTTAATTCGATTATAATTTTTAGCATCGATATCGCAATGGATGATAGCCCATTAACGTTTCGATAATCCCACGATCCGGCTTCTGGTCGACTTACGTCCACGATCCCCTAACAACCCCCATCATCTAACAACCCTCCGATCTGCGGGCCAAAACGACAAACTGGCCGACGATCTCGTGGACATATTGACCTATCGAAACATCAACAGCACGGCTCGCCGTAAAGCATCCACGGCGGAACCGCAGAGGCACAACGCTCTCTCTCTCTCTCTCTCCCCCGATCCGGTGGACGCGTGGAAAATTTACTTCTGTTTGCTCGTGCCCGTCGCTCGTTTGTCTGGCGCAGAGGGAGAGGAAACAAGCGGGAGCGAGCAAATGGTTTACCAGTTTCTTCGGTGGTGCAGGATACAGGGCTGCTCGTGACACCCTCCCCGGCTCTGGTGTAGGCGAGCACCTGCACCGTGTAATTGGTGTACGGGCTAAGTCCGTGCAGAACCGTGCTCAATGCATGGCTGATCTTCGTCTCTCTGCCCGCCTGCTGCTCCAGAACAGCGCTGCCCGCCTCGTACAGCAACTTGTACCCCTGCACGACCCCGTGAACTTTGTCGGAAGGCGGCGGCTTCCAGGTCACCTGGATGTTCTGCCCGGTCAGAGCGGCGCACGCCACGTTCTGCGGCGAGGCGCTTGGAACTGCGCCGTGTAAAATCGTGGTGATCAGGAATCGTGATCGGGACGAAAATTAAGCTTTATTTATTATCGTGGAAAGGAAAACGGAGAGAAGAACGGAAGATCGGGGAGGGCATGGCAACGGTGTCTGTGGAAATTGGAGCGGGGGCGGGGACGACGAGACGGGTCTGGTTACCGATGCGCGCCACGGCAAATGGCGCGACTAGGGAGTTTTCAGTTTCGAGAGGAAATTCGAGGACAAAGAGAGGAGAGGTAAACTGGTGTCGAGTGGATTGTTTTTGCGTTGCTGATTGGAAGGCTAGAATCCCCCCGAGTGGCAACTTCTTGAACCGAGGCGAGGAGGAGTGGAGGAGCGATCGATCTGTCTTCGCTTTTGCCCGAGCTCGTTATTCGAAAACGTGTTCTGTTGTGCGCGATGTTGTTTGCCACGGATGGGAGGAGGACTGTCTCGTTAACGGCGCGGAACGCCGATCTTTTTCCACCGGGTCAAGTGTCAAACGGGGGGAAAGGGCGCGCGTGGCACGCGTGTTGTGCACGATCCATCGCGGTTTCCGCGGAACGCGAAAGGCTATTCCTCTTCCTCGAGAGGAAGGAAGCTCGTTCGACGGTTGTCCGTCTCGAGTTCTCCCCGCCAACGAGCAAAGCGGGGAGGAAAATCGGAACGCGGCCGCCGAGTATTTACGCTTTCCTCTCGAGTAAACTCGCGCCACTGAAGTTTCTTCTTGTTCCAATATATATATATATATGTGTGTATGTATAACTGTCGAAGCGTTGTTACAAATTTTCTTTTTTCTCTCTCTCTCTTCCCGTTTTTTCTTTACACAGATTATGGAAGCAGGATTATCGTCGAACGACGCCTTTGTTGGAAAATGTGTTTCGACTGTTTCCTCGAGCGTTGGCAAAGGAAACCGCGCAATTAAGCCGTGCCATTGTTTCGAGCGGAACGGACCACGGAAAATCGCGCGAGCGTTGAACGGATTTCATGCATCGCGGCCACTCCCCGCTAAACTCGTCCAAACTCGAAGCTCGATTCGATGTTTGGAGGAATGTTTCGCGATCTGGACATCTCTATCCGTCGCTGTTTGCGAATTAATCGATCGTTGCAACACCTTCACGTCACGCCTTCTTTCGAAAACGGGTCTATAAAGTACACCGGTTATCTGAACGAGCGAAAATCTTAGGAAAAGGAAAAGAGAGGAAGAGGGAGATATTAGAATTCCGTGGATTCAAATAGAAAGTGGAGCGACGACTCAACTCGAAATAATTTTGACGAACAGTCTCGAAAAAGTTGAAATTCGATCGATTTCCAAAAATGAAACAATTTGTTTTATTTTTTTAATCCTCTGCACAGATTTCGTTGGGTGAAACTCAACAAGTTAGAACAACGAGTCATCCGATTAAAAAATAGAGATATGACGGTTAACGAGCCCCGCCTTGCGAGATGTACACGCAAATTTTTTAAATCCCCTTTCTCCGCGTTGTTGCGAGTTTCTGAATGTAAAATTGCACCCGTGAAAATTAATTTCGTATAAAAGCGAATCTCTAGCTTCATCAGCGCTCGAGAATGCGCCGCATCTCGTTCTATGTTATTTCGAATACCGCTAAAGTCTCCAATTATCCTTTATCCCTCGATATAGTTGTTTTATTCGATAATACGTTATTTCTCATTTAACAGAGAGTTTAGATCGAATTCTAAGGTTAAAGAAGCTGTTGCTCCACTTTCGATATCTGTCGCATTACGTAAGAGAATAGAGTTTCTTTTTAAATTTATTAATTTAAACCTCTGGCCATGGAATTGAAATAATTTATTAGACTTGCAATTTAATCGCAATTAATTCGACGACCAGGAGATCGTTTAAAAAATTTTCAAAAAAAAAAAGAAGAGAGAGAAACACAAAAGAAAGGAGAAATAACCTTGATGTCGTTCGCTCACCGTCTTCGAGAGTCTGCACCGTGACCGGGTCAGATCCTGGGCCGTCTCCTTTATTATTGAACGCCTTCACCACGATGCTATATTGGGTGTACTTTCGAAGTCCGGTTAGCCTGTAGGAGCCATCGCCGTTTTCCGTGATTCCCACTCTGGTGATGTTCACCGATTGATCATTCCCGCTGAAATAAAGCCACGATCCGTGTTTCTCGGGGCGGAAAGATAAAGCGCGAGAAGGAACGGCCGGAACTCGACGATACTTAAACCCATCCCGTGGAAATTGGAGCGAAAAATAGTCTCCTGATTTCTCCACGTTCCTCCCCTCCTCGATAATCGTACATATATATATATATATATACAATCCATTCCAATCCGATATCAAATTTCCTTTCCTTCGGAGAGGAAGGGCGCGTTTCCGCCCCTCGCCTAACGAACCGGCGCGCGATCCTTCGCGAATTATAATCGAGAATCCAAAGAATCCCAACGAGGGGCAAGAAATCGGAGAAATTCCATCGTTTCGGGACGGTTAACGATGAATTTTATTCGAAATCCGTCTTGTCCTTCTGCCCGAGACCGAGATTATCAAAGTTCCGCTGGAAGTTTTCCTCCAGCAAAATCCTCCTCGAGATTCGTTATACAACGAAATTGGCCTCATCGTTCGTATAACCCGATTTAATAATCGTAAGTATAACGAGAGACGTCGGCGAGAGACGAATTGCACACGTTTGAAGGGGGAGGAGAAACGTTCGCGAAACATCTGTTACGAGAGGAGAGGAGGGGAGGGAACAAAAGCGCGGCGATTATCGTCCGCGAGTCCTCCGATCGTCGTCCATTGTCGACGCGGAATCGCAGCGATAATCGGGCAAGACTCGACGGGATCAGGTTCTTCGTTCTGTTGCTAAATTCTACGGTTCTCGAGTGTGCTTTGGAAACTATTCTAAACAGCCGTTAAACGGATAACGATACCCTAGATTGGCGTAGCTGATGGTGTATCCGAGAAGTTCGCCATTCCACAGGGATCGATCGGGTGGTTGCCAGGTGACCTTCACTTGCTGCGGTCCTAAGGGTTCAGCGATAACGTGTCTGGGCGATCCACCGGGAATCTCGCCGTCGGTCTGGGCCTGTTGTCGTTGCCGTTGTCGTCCAACGTAGCGATTTTTTCGTCGATCGATCGAAGGTGGATCGAAGAGTGAAAGGAGAAACGTTCGATACGTTAAAGAAAATGGCGAATATGTTCGAATATATTAACGAAAATATATAATAAGATGGATAAGTGATATAATGATAATTTTCTTTTTTTTCTTTTTTTTTTTTTTTTTTTTCTTTCTTTTTTTGAGATATGCTGAAATGTTTTTTGATACTGACATGAAGGATGTCGCTTGGCGCTGATGTTCCAAGATGATTTTCCGCTAGCACCCGAAAGTGGTAGGAGGTCGCCGGTTTTAGGGGCGATACCAGCGCGACCGTGTTGTCCCCTGCCACCATCTTCTGCGTGTTGTGCTCATGCCACACGTCTTTCCAGCAAAAGGCAACGACAACGCTTAGAGGGTTTGTGTGCATCGTTGATCGCTAAGGTAATCGACGAATTTACGAACCGCTACGACTTTCGCGCGTACGTCCGTCTTACTCCCCGAGGCGGTTACCACAATGCCACCACAATTTCGCAGCACCTTATACGTGTAAGAGGCATCTCGTCGACGACGGTTAAAGCGTCTTATAAGCCAGTTTCGACCTCACTGTACGAGAATTCGAAAGCGAAGATCGCGTTTCTTCGTCGATGACCTTTCCAAACTTCCGAGATGAAAGTTTATCGAAATCAATTTAAACCGTGTTACGTTTAACGTGTCCGTCGTTTAACGCCTGTTGTTGCTTATATTCGGAGCAACAACATCGAGAAACTTCTTTACCAAAGCTTCTGCACTTTACCCGATTTAAACTTTGGAAAAATAAACTTTTCACGAAGGAAGACTATCAAGGCCGCGAACGTTCCCTCTCATCTTCTTAGGCGAGAACCGACCGACTTTGACTTCTGGCTTTATCATTGGCTCGAAAGCGACGAGGATTCGTCAGAGGCACGTAAGGCGGCGTCGAGAAACGAGGTTAACCGGCGTCGAGAGAATTAGTTTTTGATAGTCGGTGGTAGAGTAGCTGGTAATCCGCCTCGAAGCTGTCGAAAAATCGAACGTGCGAACGTGTACAGGAGATCGATGGGAGGAGAGAGGGGGAGAAAAAAAGAGCAAAGGTGAGCGAAAGAGATGGTACGCAAGGTTTCCAAAGTTTTGGAACAAGTTAATCAAATGTATCCCCGCTGCGAGTGAGCCAAAAAATAAAAAAATAAAAAAATAAAAAACGCAAGTGCGTTTTTTATCACGTGCCCTCGATGCTCGTTCATACGTGTAAAAAATTCATCGCTATCACGCTTTACTCTGGAAACAAAAGGGAAAATGAAAGAGAAAGACAGGAAGAGGGGAGAAGGGAGAAAATCGAAATTAAACGCGTGTATATTTAATTTCAATCCCGTGGCCCGCGTAAAGAAAAGAAAAATATTATATATATATCGATCGATACGAATCGAAGAACGATCGCACGTTCGTCAACGATCGATACACGATTGGGGGGGGATATGGCGGGAAAAAGGAATCACGGCGGATGATAGCGGATATATCCGACTCGGTGCTTGCCCTGAAAACGTGTTTCACGCGCGTTCACACCACGACACCTCGCTGTGACCTTCCATGTGTTAAGTTCGATAATTTAGCGGTGGCCACCCGATTCGAGTCGATTAGGCGTAAATGAGGACATCCCAAGTTAACGAGGGAGATTTGGGATCCTGAGGGGGAGGGGAGGGGCTGGTTAAGCGGCGAAAGAGGGGGAGAAAGAGAGAGGGATGGTATCGCGTGGGGTTGATGCTCCCTTTCAAAGAGAAGTTTCCCAACTGGTGGAGAAAATAAAAGCACGAGACAGAGCGGAGAGAAGAAGCACGGCGTCGACTTCGCGGGCAAACTTCGACTTCCTTTTCGTGGCACGCTTTTATGAAAACCCTGACTCGCTCCTCCTCCTCTCTCTCTCTCTCTCTCTCTCTGCATTCCGCTCGATATAACACACCCTTTCGACCTGACTCTGGTCGTTCGCTCGACGAAAAAAAAAAAAGAAAAAAAGAGAAAAAACGGGTCATTCCACGCGACGTAATTAAATATCGTGAAATAATATCGTGAAATACAGCGTGCCGGTCCAGTTCTCCATCGACGACAATACGTTTGATTCGAGCATCGGCTAAAACTCGGTGACGACGGCTTTCACGAAAATTGAAAAACTTTTGCCCGGCCCGGAGGACCATTGCGAGGAGAAAGAAGCTGCGAGCCAAGTAAAGAAGCCAACGACGCTTCGAAATTAATTTTTCCATTAAAATGTAAAAAGCGAGAGGGGGTCGCGAATTGGTGGCTCGCTTTCGAGGAGAGGGGAGAAGGAATGGTTTATTATTTCGTTTCGGCCGAAAGTTGGTCCGCCCTGCGATCGAAAAGTCGTGGATATAGAAAGCTGGGGAAGGAATTGTGCTCGATGTCTGTCCAATCAGCGAGCGAAAGAAACGGAGCAGCGATCACGATCATCGGCTTCGGATTGATTATATATTGTTTGCCATATTGCGCTATAATTTCATTCCCTCGATTGGCTTCGGAGCCAGGCGGCCAGGCTATTGATTAAACTTGAGATCCAGCCTGACAGTCCAATAATGGAGTCTTAATGTGGCATCGTCGAGATATTACGAATCAAACTCCTCCCGACGTCCGGCTGCTTCGTAATGAAAACGACGATCCGTTGCCCCGCGGATGGAAAGCAATTAAAATATAGGCAGGCAGGCAGGCAGAAGGAAGTTCTTCGTGTAAACAAAAGAAGAAATCCAAAATGAAAAATACTGTCGTGGACGATAACGAATTTCTCTTTCTTCCCTTTACGAAAGGAATCGATGCGGGAACATTCTCGCGAAATCGGCGTCCACCATTTTCCAACGAAATACGGAAGATATTTCGAACTATATCGAAACGAGTCCACGAATCTTCGAGTTTCCCTCCACGCCCTGGATATTGCCCTCGAAATATCGAAAAAATCTATAAGGACGTTTTGCCTGGTGGCGGACTTTGTCGCACCAGGAGGGATCGATCGAAAGGTTCGCACAGCGTTTCTCAAATTTCACCGAGGAGACACAGAAGGCGTCGGGGATACAGGACTCGAGTTTCGCGATCGATTAAGAAAGACCGTCGAAGAGAATTGGATGGAATCGATTGGAAGAACGGCGTGGTAAAAAAAAAAAAGGGGGGGGAAAGGACATTGGATCGAGAAGAAAATGGCAGCGGTGAAAAATAACGAAGACGTTTTCGAAAGTGATACGAGATACGAATAACGTCTCTGATACGTTCCCTACGGAAATCGTTATGAGCGAGTGAAACGACATCGGCAGAGGAATCGAGGAATCGCCATAAGATGGATCTTAGCGACGCTATGGATAACACCGTCACAAGCGGTATAAAGCTCGCTATTTGAATTCCAAAGAATCTTTTCAGAGAGAGTCCTTTTCCTGGCGCAGATGTCAAAGCGATAAATCATCCGCCTCTATAAAGATTCCGTTATCTTTATCGGATACGAGGAATACTCGATTCTCGGGATCGATCTCTTATCCGAAATTAATTTACTTCCTGGGCTGGGTTTTGATCCAATCTTCCATATTTTTTTTTTTTTTCCGATCACACGAGTTTCCGCGACATTGAACGCGAACGAGATGAAAAATGACCAAGTTTGAGAAACGCCGTGTTCGTGAAAAAAAGATGTAACGTTGCCAAACTTTGGAAAAGCTGTTCGGACCGCGATCCAACAACGTATCTATTTTTCCTTCGTAAGAGCGTGTCTAGTTTCATCGCGTTACGAGGCACGTAGGAGCCAGCAGCTGCGTGAAACGATCGAGCATTGTTATTAAAAAGTCATCATCAACGTCGGGGAGGATAAAGCAATAGCTCTGACTCGATGCACGACCCACGATACGTGCGTAACACTGTACGGTGAAATAATACTCCTTGAATCTCTCTTGCCTGTCTCCATTATCAAAATGGCGGTTCGCAAGTAGGCTAACTCTGGAAGAGTTATATAATAGAAATAACAAGGCTGGTGCTCGTGAAAACGAGGAAAGAGACGAGAAAGTCGGTCACGCCATTCGACAAATTCAACCGTGACGGTTGATCGCGGTACGCTCGTCCCTCGACTCGAAATCGGCCTCGGCCCAACATCCGCCATCTCTTCAAAGAGTTTGCGAGAAAGTAAAAATAGTGGCGTGAATACGGTGGTGGAACGTAGCGAGCGAGTGCGCTATGAATATGCGCCATGAATCTAGTGATAGGAATGAGTCAAACATCGTCGTGGTACGCGTCGTCAACGTGACCCTCCCGATGATCCCCATTACCGATTCACGAAACCTCGATCCATCGATCTACGAAGCGTCGTACGTGCCCGTCGTGTTTGACCACGATCGATCGAAGTGGCGGCGCTCATCGAGTATACACGCTCCCGAGACACGCCTCTCTGTCTCGAGGCAAGCTCGACCGAGAGTCGCAGGGCATCCCGCTGACCTCCTCGTTTCCATTCCATCAAACGGAATCACGGTACCGCGTCCAATCTCATCGCGACGCCGCCACGATCGAGTTCCAATCCATTTTAATCACCGGACCTTTGCATCCGGATTAATACACCGTGCGAGATACCGTGGAGAAAATTCTCCGTGGCAATGTCTCGTCCGTTTATCCGACCTCGATTCCATCGCTCGGACGCGACTTCGCCCGATCCACGGCGAACGAAACGAATCGTGGAAACCTACCCTGCGCCTCCTTGTACTGCACGATGTATTTGGTTATAGGGGAGCTGGCGTGCGCCGGATCCTGCTCGCTGGACGGCGACGACCAGGCCAACAGCAGCGATCTGCTCCCTTGCTCGGCTACGTGCAAATTCCGGGGGAAATTCGGTGGCTCCTGCACCAACAGCTTGATACCAGCCCTCGCGTGGCCGTAAGCGTTCGTAGCCACGCACGTGTAGTCCCCACGGTCAATGTGGTTCGCCTGGGTGATGCGCAGCTCCGAGATCACCCGCCCGGACACCTTCTGGTTGTCTATCGTGTACCTGCGGAGAGGGAGAGCTTCGTCGAAACTTCATTTCGAATCAACAATCGCATCGTTGGACGAACGAGCCTTACGATTTTAAGTCCAGTGGCGAAAATATCGCCTCGCAATTTTAATAACCGATAATAACGGATAATCCGCGGGAGAAGATGAATTCGCGATCGAATTATATGCGACGAAGCGATGCATCGCGTCTCGCTGGTGCTCGAGTAATTTTGCGTGAGAGAAAGTTAGCGAGCGAGGGATGATGCGGGAATAATTTCGTAACGAAGGAGCGCGGCGTTGTTGGGAAAATGTTCCGTGGAAACTTCCCTCCCTCCTGTCCCTCCCCTCGCCCCGACGCGCGGTCACACGCTCCGCGGAGTGGAACCGACCGAGTGTACCGGATGAATCCCTCGAGGATGAGCCCTCGAGGGGAGGGGGAGGAGGGTCGAACGCGCGTCTAACGTGCGATCACTCTTTTTTTTTCGTCCGTCCCAGTTATTTTAAAGGGGAAATTTCGGGACCCGAGCGTGGACACGACCCGCTTAATCAGAGCCGCGATTGCAATCAAGCCGCGTCAATCGATGGGGAGATCGATGGGAGATCGAGATGTCGCCCTCGTCGATCGTTCGCCGCGGCGAAAGCCCAGCAACATGCACATAGAAGGGAAGGGAAGGGAAGAGGAGGGGGGGGGGCTTGATTAATTTCGATACAAACCTAACATCGTAGTTGGGATCGACTCTGCTGTCACGCGCACGCCAACTCAGATCAAGGGGAGCGTCTCCTTCGGCCTCGCACCGTAACGTCACGCTCTCTCCTCGCCTCACCGACTCCTGCTGAGTTTTCACCGACACTTGAGGGCCCGCTGTTTCCACAACAGTTTTTCGCATTTTAACGATTTTTCTCAATCGTTGTCTCTGTTTCTCTCTTCTTATCAGGGGAACGCCAAAAGTAAAAGAAGAAAGAAAAATCGTATCGTATTCTCTCTCGATATCCTCGTACGCTTGGAAACGCGAGAACGAATCCGATCGATCGGACGAGGCACGAACGGAGTTATGCTCGAACGGAAAATCGGCGGATATCGTAAAGGGATGATACACGCGATCGGATCGAACCGATAAAAACCATCATAAAACCAAATTTCCCACGAATCCAGTTCCTTTCCTTTCTTTTTTCTCTCCCTCCAATTACTCTCCGCGTAATTCGTAAAGTTTCCCTCGATTCGTATGCTACACATAAAAAAATGGAAAAGTCGAAATTACGATCGAGAACCGAGTAAACGCGAATGGACGGCATTACACGACTCGTCGAAACGCAACGTAACGAGATTTTTAAAGCAACGTGCGAGTTCTCTGCGGTAAACGGACTGTAACGATCCCCTCCTCCCCTCCCCTCCTCCGATATATAGGCGTTCCCCTTGTACGTATGGATCGGTGTGGAGAAATTCGGCCACGGAACTGAAGAATTTCGGAGCGAGCTGGTCGTGGCCGGAATCCCAAGTTCGCGGGCTGACACAGATCCACCTTCCTGGCTGTAACTCGTGTGATGTTGCGTGAATATTTTACCGTGAACTGTTAGCCGAATGAGCTTGCTGAGGCCAGGTCCGATCCCGTTGCTCGCCTGGCACAGATAGAAACCGGCGTGATCTCTGGATACCCGTGAGATCACCAAGGATCCATTCCCCGCAACCCCCGCACCCTCGGTCCCGCTGAATCCCAGCTCCCTATAGTCGCCTGGCGTGTCCATCCCTGTTCAAAGAGAGGGAGAGAGAGAGGGCAACCATTAAGGGAACCTCCAAAGTAACTCCCGTATGATAATTCTCTGTCTGTATTCCGCTTGTTATCCAAGATAATGGTAAACGGAATTTGGAACGCAATACAATTCTATTCTATTTGCGTAACGGGAAATTAGAAGAATTCTTCCTTTAACTGGAATTCGATTAAGATGTGGATGGATATATGGATGGATTGAAATTCAAATTTCAATGAAAAATAATAGGGAGGAATATAGAATAATTATTAATTGTATTCGTCGACGGACGTCTTGTTCTTTCTTTTTTTTTTAAATAGAAAACATTTTATTACGAGCTACTATTGTCTTGTAGCGTTGATCCACTGCGCCCAGTCAAATTATCCAGCAGAACTCGTTGGATAGAATTTTAATAGAGCGTTATCTTCCATACGAAGTTGTTCGTTTTTGGACAAATATAGAAAGTAAGACAGTCTGAAACGTTATAACATTCGCAACAGAAACGTTAGAAATTAGAACGTTCGATGACCTGATTTTATATAAAGAGAAAAAAAAGAAATTTCAAATATTTATCGATTCGTGGAATCACAGGAATTCGACTAGTGAGACAGGGATTTATGACGTTACAGAATTTTATAAAGTATCGGAATATCCTTTCGGAATTCGTCGCATTCTCGAAACGACGGAACAACGTAACCACCGCGGCGGATCAACGTCACTCGACATTCTTTCCGATACAATAAGAATCTGGAAGCGGGTGGGTAAATGTCCAAAGGAAACTCGGCGTTGCGTGAAAAGATACAACGGGTGGGTGGAAATGCGATCGAAAAGTACACTTTTCGACTCTCTCGACATCGAGTACGTACGGGGCACGTTGTCGTAGACATCCATCTTCCTCCCTTCCAAAAAAAAGAAAGAATAAAAGAAAAAGGAAAATCGCAGCGTTGGACGCGTATTAAATCGTTTAATTGATACGCCGCGGTTGATTGGCCGGCTCATTTGAAATGTATCCCTCGCTTAATGAGCAATTTAACTTTGGCGAGATTGGAATAGGGAGAGAGAGAGAGAGAGAGAGAGAGAGACGAGAAATGGTCGGCGATCGAGGAAAAAGGGAAGAAATTTCATTCCTGAAGGGGCGCGATATAATGTTCGTGAACGGGCAACGAACCGGTGAAACTAATTGTACTACCCGTTTCATCGGGCGGAGGGCTTATTTCAGATTGAATGAGACCCGGCTGGAAACGGCCGATCAGCGAAATTTCTGATGGATATCTTCGTCAACCTCCGCCAACCTCGGGTTAAATACACTCGGAACCTCGTAACTCGATGAAAACGGTCGATCGATTCGCGTGAAAAGTCAGCCGGAATTATCATTAAACTCCTTCCGGAAAGGGAAGGGAATAACGCGGGTAAAGAGGAGAGATGTCCCGTGTGTTTCTCCCGTTTCGTTTTCTATCTATTCGGTTCGAAAATTAGCTGATAAATTTTTACGGGAAAAATAGATATCTATAATGGGAACAACCTTCGAATAGACCTTCCCTTTTCGTTGCTTATAAATCGAGGCGGAAGCGGCTCACGAATCGATTCCATCTGATAGAATTTTAAATTTTCCCTTACGGTAGGATTCTCCATTTTCCTTTCATTTCTACATTTCCTTTTCTGCTCTTCCTTTCTCTCTCTCCCTTCGAAAAACATTATACGGAATTCTATGATTATTTCCTTTTTCTCTCTCTCCCTCTCTCTCTCTCCCTCAACTGGAATCATTATTACTGACGTTTCACTTGAAATTCTATTCTTTCGTTCTTAACAAGGAAATTTTCATGACTGTCTCTCGTGAAAAGAGAAAAGAATCGATAAGAGGCATTGATCTTGCCAATTAAGTAGACTCGAAGCACGAGAGAAACCATTAAAAATAAATAGGAAGGAAACTTTTCGAAAGGAATCACATTACATCCCGGATACACACGTGTGCGTTTATAAAGATCGATGCAGACGAGTCTCTCGTAAAGGGAAACAACCCGTCGAAAAGCGAGCATTGAATTCCGCTTATTAAGTGGTATCAACCTCTTACGGCAACTTGCCCCCGTACGTACGAGTACTAGCACGCGCCAAACAATTTTTCTGCAGTGGAATGCGGTATCATAAATCAGCTGACGACCGTGGCGAAAAAAATATCGTGGAAAAATACACGAATTTAGAAAAATTTAGAAAAATGGATATGTTTCTAAAAAAAAAAAAAAAAAAAAAAAAATAAATAAAACCTCGATCCATCCTCGATCACAAATATCTGTCAAATATCTATTAAAATTAACCCATATACAATTTCAAAAGGAGAACGATAAGCTTGCACTCGAGGAGGAAGAACAGGAGTAGATAAGAAAGGTTCCCCTTTGAAGATTGACTAATCGCATCATCGTTCGGGATCGATGTCCGACATAAGTCACCCTACTTGGTGGTTTCCGGTAAGACAGAGGGCCAGTTTTTCGGGACTCTCTGCGAGAGAGAGAACGGTATCTCTCCGCCACGTTGGGACGATGGATACTCGGGGTAGGGAGAGTCGTGACTTACCGATCGATTGCTTCCAAGTCACCGTCGGAATGGGGAATCCTTCAGCCTGACAGGCAATGGAGACGCCGTGACCTACAACGGCGTTCTGGTCGATAGGTTCGACCGTCCAGCGCGGCGGCACTAAAAATACCATCCAATTGGCTTAAAATCTTCCGGATCGCCGGCTCCCCGCGGACCGGCGTTTCGTCTTCGCCCGATCTCTCGCCCCGATCCTCGTCGATCGCGTCAATTCACACCGTCGCGTCACCCTTCTCCATCGCTTTATCCCTATATACGCGTATATTCCAGGCAATCGCCTCGTTTTCGCGTGGCTGACACACGCAACACCCGTTTTAGGAACAGAACCTCCGTTCTCTCGTTCTGGATAAAGGGTAAAGGATCAGGTGCGGGAGACTCGAGTTCGAAAACGTATTTCGGGTGAAAAGAGCGGAGAGATGAAGCGATGAAGAAAAGTAGCCGTTTCGGTGGAACTCGATTTTTTGAATCGAATTAAGGGGGATGGAGATCGATCGATTCCCTTCGTCTTCTCCGATCGAACGAAGGGAAATCTGATATTTCGTTCGAATTAATTAGCCATTGTTCGCGGGGAACATCGATCCGCTTTTGTGGAAACGGCGGGATCGGGTTTTTCGTCGACGAGGATCCGACCGATTTCCGAGCGTTTTTCTCTCTACCTGCTACAATTGTCTTTGCTGTCGTGTGGCTTTTGTTTTTGTAGTCGCGTATATACTCGTGTGTGTGCGTGTGCGTGTCTCGTGAAAACGCATGCAATTTTCCAACGGGTTTTCGAATGTTGAAACTGGATACTTACTGCAACGCTAGTATAACGTGAACAACAACGTGTGTGGCAACAAAATCGGTGGTGTCTGTGTGGTTTGGACTACTTGAATTGACGATGTCGTATTCAGAGGGGGAGAGTAAGATGTTTATTCATTCGTTGTTGTCGATCAACAGGAAGGAACAAACTAACTAATTTACCAGAAATAACTTGGAGCAGTGATTGAATGAAATGAAATGAAAAAAAAAAAAAAAAAAAGAGAAAAGAAAACGATCGTCGAGCGAAATTAGAAACTGAAGAGAGGGAGGGGGGAGAAAAAAATATGCGTGCGTTTGTAATTAATCTGTAATTATTGAAACGAAAACGTGCTCGTTGCTCGGAAAAATTAATTTGTAAATGGGGAAAAATTAAAAATATACTCGATAACAGGAAGGAATGATAAAATGAAATTGAATAAAGTGTTTCGAACAAATTAAGGGGGGACCAACCGATACACCGTGTATCAGTTAGAGAGGAATAGCATTCCTTGGATTAATCGTAATATAGAGAAAAGTATATCGTAATTGGATAGGATAAAGTGTTGCATGCAAGAATCGTTTCATTTCGAAAATATAAAAAACACGGCAGGCATCATTCCAAGTAAAAAAGATGTGAATACGTAATCGAATAATAAAGGTTTTAAAGAACAACGTATACGGACAAAGCAATAACGGTATCCTATCTCAAAGAACGTTACTTATAATCAGTATAAATACGAATAAAAAACACGCAGAGAAAACTTTCGAGGCACACAGTAATATAACGTAAACGTTAATCTCAACATTCTTTCCATCGTCATTCCAAGTTGCTCGTATGTATATAAAGATAAAAATATGAAGGTAGGCGAAAAAAATCGTACGAGAAAATGTACTGAAACCAGTAAACGTTAACTACGCGAACGCATGCTTTTACATCCGTCACAGACATTTTGTTGCATTACACGAGCACAATATAAGTAATATCTCTCGGTACACGAAACCGCTACAAAAAGAAAGGAAGAAAACGAAAAAAAAAAAAAAAAAGAATAAAAATAAAAAAAATAAAAGGATAGAAAAAATGAAAAATAAAAGAAAGATAAAAATAGGAAAATAGAAAATAAAACGACACTATAACTATGGACGAACACGCGTAGAACAAAGGGAACGAAAGATACGAGAGAGAGAAAGAGAAAGAGAAAGAGAGAGAGAGAGAGAGAGAGAAAGATAGAAAGAGAGAAAAAAAAAAGAATAATTCGTACGCAATTAAAAAAGAAAAAACGACCGAACAACAAAAACGTTCTAATTCTAATCAGAAATCAGTACTCTCAACTTTCGAAATCTACAAATCGAACTCTTTACAAATGCTGATGATCAAATGAGGATGTACAAATATATAGTAACGATGAAACAACGAGAAAAGAAAGTAATAATAATAACAACAATTAAGTTTCGTTCTCATTTACTTCTCAGCATCTTTCTTTCTTCTTATTTCTTTCTTTTTTTTTTCTTTTTTTCCTTTTTGTTTTTTCTTTTTTTCTCAATTCGTCCATTTTACTTTTCCCAATTTTTTTTCCCTTACCGACTCGTCGTCAATGGATTAACTTGATGTTGCTTTAACCGTTGCTCGTTGGCGAAACGTGCTCTTCCCGAAAAATTACACGAACGAAAGAAATTCGTGTCCTCGAATTCGTTGCGGTTAACCGGCACGTCGATTGGCATGCATTAAAAACGAAAAAGAGAGACAGAAAGAGAAAGATAGAGAGAGAGAGAGAGAGAGAGAGAGAAATAGACAGAGATCAAAAAAAAAAAGAAGGAAGATAAATCGTACGACTCCTAAGCCTGCGTCTGTCCCTAGAAAATATTCGTTCTTTTTCTGTGCTGCGTGAAGGAAATCCTGGACTCCCGGCTTGTGTGCTATCACCTATCGTGTCGTATATACTTATACATATATATATATAGATATCTTTTTTCCGCCCTCTTCTAAAAAAAAAAAAAACACTCTCTTTACGCGCAAGTGCTGTCGCCTCGAAGAGGATTGGAGTACCTGTGTCGCGTCAGCGTTACGTGGCTTCGAAACCTTATGCAAAATCGAGCCATTTTAGCGAACGAAAGGTATCGGGTTGATAGGATGGACACGTTTCCGGCTGGACACTTCGACCCATATTCAACTCGACTCCATGCGAAATCTCTATAGAGGAAACAGTCTTGCATTTCGATACCTAAGTATCGAACATTCTACAAAGATCCGCGAATAAATGGAATTACGATCGTTTCATTTGATTCACTTTAGGATTTTTCAACAATTCAAAATGAATCAGGAAACAATTGTTCTTCGAAGAGGTATTAAAAGATATTTCTAAATTCGTATTCGAGAGCATGTTATCATAGTCTCAGCCTCCCCATTTTCCCAGGCTGAAACGCGACGAAGAACGAGGTTTGTTCGAAAAAAAACAAAATTGCAACGACACAGGTGCGACCTAATCTGTGTACCTGTGTAAAAAATTGTTGCGAAAAAATGGCAACGGCGGATGATGGGGAAGATGGTACAGGTTGACGAACGGCAGGCAGACAGACTTAATTACGCAGGGGTTCGCTATTTTGCGGGAACCTGCGAACAACCGGCGAGGAAATTCGTTTCGTATTTACCAGGGACGAAACGAAACGCGAAATCGTCGGTCGACGAGATCTCGACAATTAATTACTCGTGGATGCGGCACACGAAAGGCTCGAGTAAACGTTACCCGAACGATAAAGATTACCAAAGGCTGTTTCGTTGTGTGTGTACGTTGGCGGTTGGAAATCGGTTTCCAGTCGCTGAGTTTCCATGAGAACGAAGATAAATAAATAAATAACGGGAGGAAATGTAAGCGAAATGTAAATAAAACAGTGTCAGCGTCTACGTGTTATTCTCTTATTCCAACAACGATAATAATTGTTGTCTATCAATTATAATTACGAGGAGAGAAGAGAAGAGATCCGTCGTTGATATCGAGAATTCGACGATACTCATCTCGTTACCTTTTTTTTACGCGTGGAGAAAAATTTTATTTATTTTTATCGATTCTCCCTTCCTTTTTTCCCCCTCTTCTCTTTTTTCTCGCGTTGCGTCGAAATAAGAACTCGAATATTAATCGGATATTAATTTCACTTTTTATGGATATTGTGTTTAAAGAGAGCCAGAGAAGAATTAACGTAAAGAAGAAACGTTGAAAATTAGCCGGTCGACAATCACGGAAATAAGATGAATATAATTCACCGTGCGTTTTAGTATAATTCAGTTGAAACAACTTAGCGAAGACTCGGAAGTCTCTGGAAACAAGCTTCGCAACTTTAAATTACTCGCGTTCCTCGAGGGAGCTGGGATCGTTTATACAGAGGGAAGGGGGGAAGGTGGGGATCTTGGTGGATGCGCGCTCGCAGCCTGGAATGGAACGGCTTTCGAATGACGAGTATAGTAGGAAGCGTCGTTTTATGCGCATTAGGACACGTGTATCCGATAACGCGCCCGTTTATCTGTACACGTCGTCGTTTCCGTTCCGCTCGCTCCATTCCGCGCACTCGGCCAGACGTTATTCGTATCCGGATCGTATCGTCCTCCAGAATACACGGCTACGGCCGCCGGCACAACTGGTCCGGTAATATCCCGGGGCGAAACAAATGCGGAAAGTCAGGTGTTTCTTATCGCCCCCCACGGAACCTTGCGACGGCCGCCGTTCCTCTTATCGTTTCCAAAGCTCGATCCGAGCCGAGAATCGAGCACTCTATTTTACGCTCGATTGACTCTTGTTCCCTCCGTCCAAACCTCGACCAAACCTCTTAAATTCGACCAAAACTTTCTTATTGGCGAACGAGTTTCGCGACTTTCCATCGATTTCACACTCGAGTCGCGGAACCTCTCCTCCCCCTCTCGTGAAATTCCCTTCGAAATTTCACGATCGATGGAGAGCGGATCGCTCTCGAGCATCCTTGAGAACCGGCCTGCGTCTCGATTGCCCCGATCGATCTCGCGGCGAGTAATTCGAGGCGTACGATTGACCGGCGACGTTTATAAAAGACGTTTATCCTCCATTGATTCAGCCGCGCCGTTAACTTCCACGCGCCCCAACGTTTAATTTACGATCCATTGTTTCACGAGACTGTTCTGGCCGCAACGTTTCATCCCCACAATGCGCCCCGAAATCCGTCAATAACAAAGCGAGAACCCTTGAAGAGAGTCCCCCTATACGATCCCTCCGAGTTTCCCGGATCGATGGAGCGCAGATGTATCGAGAAAGATGTACGAAAAATTTGGGGCCGAGATTCATTTGGCTGGTGATGAGGTGACG